CTGTAATCCCAGATACTTGGAAGGCTGAGGTGAGGGAATATATATATACACATTTTTTTTTTAAACCAACAACGACTCTTGAAACTTTTAACTGTGTTTTTATACAATCAATAATCTATTTTTTTTAATCTAATATTTCGACTAATTTTATGATATTGTATATGTAATTATTTATTTTTAAGTAAAATGCCAATAAAAGGAAGTAACAAAATTAAAAAATGTATTACATTTTCAACAACAGTATATTTAATAAAGTAAAATAAGGATATTTATTTATAAATAATTTCATCAGTAATTCTCATAGCACTTAACAATTCAAAATGAAATACACCAGTTTAGGAATAAAGAATCAATTTTTTTCCTCACTGATAAAATTATTGAATTTAAAAAAGAATTATTTTGAATTATTAGAATGGTTGATACCATAATATAAGCAATGCTTGCGTATATTCTCATCATTATTCCTATTTATTTCACTTTTTTAACTAGCTCTAATCATGAATTCTACATATTCATGAATTCTCTATTTACTGAAAACAATTAGATTTTCACGCATTTGCTTTTAAAATATGATTTATATTACTTTTATCCCATTATATTAGGAATATAAAACATTTTAAAAACAGTATAATGTAACACACAAATTAGCACAAAAAGCGAGATATTTTAAGTCCTATATTAGACGTAACATATATTAGCATAAAATTTAAACTTTAAAATTAAAAATCGTGGGCTAACAGTCAAAAGTAATCGGATTTTTCATATTTTAAAATCAGTCTTGGTTTGTTTATTGACGTGGGCCTTACTTTCTCAAAAAGGTAACAGGTGTTTAATCGATTTAGCTACTTTAACTTCATTTTTAACAATTATTTACTTTTTCACCTTTGTAGATTCATTTACGAACTATTATTTGCACTACTATTTTAACTATTGCACCATTATTTTTTTTTTACGTTTGAATGTTATCTAAATTTAAGATAATAAAAGAATACTAAATATCTAATTCTATAATAACAGAACTTTCTTTGAAAGAAACGCGCTTAAAAGCAGCAGAATTTTCCAAAAGAAAGAATAATTGAAGCAATAAAGAGAAATACAATGGAAATAAAAATAAAAATATGGCCACCGAAGCCGAAGTCTTCAGGGGGTACCAGCTCCGGAAACCATAGAACAAAATCTTTTCTTTTGAGAGAGCGGACAAATGTCAAAATTAGCTCTCTCAGTACCCCGAAGATTTTGTAAAAGTCCAGGAAGAAATACATGAAATCAAATCAAAAGAGAAATTTCAAACAAAATCTTGAGAATATAATACAAAAGTGAAAAAATAAGAACTCGCAGTAAACTGGTCAAACAGCAATTTCACAAACAAACTAAATATAGAAGAAACATTTGAAGTAAAAGAAAACAACGCCCTCTATTAAAATGCGCAGTAGGAAAAAAGGATATTAAAAGGAAAGATTGTGTTACAGATTAATATAATGCTTAACTGGGGCTTCTCAGTCAAGACTTTAATTTCGCCCTGTTAAAAGAAACAATAAACTAGTATCCCTCAATCATTTTCCTAATCAAAAAATTAACATTACAATAATTATAAGGAAAATCATTATTACTCAAATTATTCAAAAAATTATTCACAGCCTCCTGAAAACTTTCAACGTTATTGCAAATTTTTTTAATCCTAAACATTTGCGAAGAAGCCAAATTTTTGAAATTTAATTGCACAAATTAGTATTAAAGTTACAGAAAAAAATAACTTAAAAATTAGGAGCTTGAAATGTTTATTTTACATTTAGTTAGTTTGTGAAATTGCTGTTTGACCAGTTTGCTGTGAGTTTTTATTTTTTTACTTTTGTATTATATTCTCAAGATTTTGTTTGAAATTTCTCTTCTGATTTGATTTTATGTATTTCTTGTATTTCTTCCTGGACTTTTACAAAACCTTCGGGGTACTGAGAAACCTAATTTTGACATTTGTCCGCTCTCTCAATAGAAAAGGTTTTGTTCTATGGCTTCTGGAGCTGGTACCCCCTGAAGACTTCGGCTGCGGTGGCCATATTTTTATTTTTATTTCCATTGCTTTTTTCTTTATTGCTTCAACTAATTTTAAGATTTGATTTGTCAGAAAGTTCATGTTTCTGTCTTCAGAAGAAAAACGTCAGTTTAATTTCTTGCTTATTGTAAAAATCTAAAAACTTAATGTTTTAAACTTTTTAAGACCTACTTATGGTTTACGTGCATTTGCCTCAATTAAGTACGTTGTTATCGTAGTTAATTAGCATTTTTCATTTGTGTATTTTATTGAATTAATTTAGATGTCAATGATCCCGAAGAAATTGAAATTGCCAGACAGATCGTCGAAGCGAACGTTGGCGAAGAAGGCCTACACTTGCTCATCAATAATGCTGGAATTAGTGAAATGCTTCCCATTGATCAAGTGACAATTGAAAATATCGAAAAACATATTAAGACTAACACTATAGCACCACTGATGATTACAACGGTAACTGAGCATTGACAATTTAACAAGTTTTTTTGTAACTCTGAAACAGCATGCCAGAAAAAAATATTATAATTTTATCTAATCATGAGATTTTCACAAACGTTTAAGGAGCCGCGATGGCTCAGGGGATAGAGTGTTCGCCTTCCAATGAGGCAAACTGGGTTCGAATCCCAGTTGATACGAATTCCGCATCCCGCTTACACCGACCACAGTGCTGTCGTGAAATATCCTCAGTTGTAGACGGATCATGGGTTAGAGTCCCCTTGCCGTCAGGCTAACCGTGGGATGTTCTCGTGGTCTTCCACTGCATGTAACGCAAAGGCGGGTTATCTCCACCAAAAGGCGGGTTATCTCAACACCTCCTAGAATAATGAAGGCCTCAGCACGGATCAAATTAGTAGTCCGATGTGACGAAGTTAACTGCGCAGTTGATGAAAAATAAGAAAGATGTTATTACGTTCGGGTTTCTAAGCTGCGCAGTGGTTGAAAATACGAAATATGTCATTACGTTTGGACTACTAAAGGATATTTATGGTAACCCGTGCAGAGGCCTACTCTTTTCTAGGAGGTGTTGGTTATCTCCACCTCCACTAAGGCAAATTTCTCCTAATACTCGATCCAGGATACGAATGTCTTCTGTATTGGGTTCAAAATTACAAGGCTACAAAGTTGAACATTAGTAGTCGTAAACCCATAAAATTGGGTCGGCTGTTCAACGACGGTTATAAAATAGAATAAAACAAAGTTAAGTTTAAGGGCCCGGGATAGCTTGGTTGGTAGGGCACTGGGCCCAGGTCCAAGACGTCGGATTTTAATCCCCTAGTAGTAAATGGTGACTAATGCAAGTTAAATCTGTCGAGTCACAAAGTCCTCCATGTTCCCATAACAAATCATACCTCTGGTGGTACTGACCCAGGAGTTTCCTTAACTTCTGGATTGGTTCTAAATTACAAGGCTACGGGGTTGAACACTAGTAGTTGTAAACCCAAAGGAGGGTCGGCTGTCTAACGAAGGTTATAAAATAAAATATATCAAAAACTAAGTTCAAGAGCCGAGATGGATCAGGGGATAGATCATTCGCCTTCCAATGAGGTGAACCGGGTTTGAATCCCAGAGATGGCTGGTCGATGCAAATCCGTATCCGGCCTGAAACAACCACAGTATTGACGTGAAATATCCTCAGTGGTAGACGGTTCATGGGTTAGAGTCCCTTTGCCGTCAGGCTAACAGTAGGAGGCTATCGTGATCTTCTTCTCTATGTAACGCAAATGCTGGTTAGTTCCATCTAAAATGTGTGTGCATAAAACTAAGTGTTTAAACGTAACAAACTTTACAAACGAAATCTGTTGAATTGATATGTTGTAAAATTTAAAATGAGTTATATTTTCAGGTTTTGATTTCTCAAGCACTATTAAATTAATTTCGTTTATATTTTTCTATTTAAAATTACAGACTTTCAAATTATATAAAATTTGTATTCCTCATAGTTCATTACTTTTTTTGACCATTATTACACTGTAAGAAATTCCGGATCAAATTGCGTCAAAAAGTACCGGCACTCAGGCTTCCAGTACTTTCTACCGAGAAATCCACTTTTACTGTAATATTTTACGGAATAAAATGTCCGATACATCGTAATTTTTACAGTAATATTTACTGAAAAAATCAATGAATCACTCTAATTAAATAAATATTACTGTTAAAATTAAGGTATAAAGTTTTGCAGTAAACATGGATTTTACGGATGCTGCACTCCTAGTGTCGTACTTTCTGCCGTAATTTGATCCGAAATTTTTACTATGTAAATAAAATAATAAGCTATTATTAAAACAATTATATTAGTATAAACAGGTTTTCAAGTGTGTTGAAAATTTTTTTGATTCACTTGAAAAATTCCCGAGACATTTAGCTATCCATCAATAAAATTTTAAAAATATGCAATAACATGCGAAACTATTAGGAATGCATGCATTAATAACACGCAAAAAGAGACCTTAGCATTAAGCGGTCCAAAGCTTTGACCATTTCAGTCAGGAAAACTGAAATAATTGGTCCAAATTTTCCAAATTGCGGCTACTCTCCATATTTTGTTTGTCAAGTATAAAAAAAATGTTGAGATAAAATAAGGCGTCCAATTTTACAATTAAATAAAACTCTTTATCATTATTTAATTAACATATTTCTCAAGATAATATAATTAACATATTTCTCAAGATTATAAGATCTCATTGTTTTAATCATTTTGATTGTTTCTTGGTTTGCTGGCTGGGATTCTAGGCATCACCGATAATAGAACCTCAGCCATAACTACTGTGCTTAAAGCGGCTGAATCAAATATTTTTGAAACGTATAACTTGATACACTTCATTATTTTCGCTCATAATAAATACATTTTCCTCGTAAGTGAATTCAAAATTTGTATTGAAATCAATTATCAGTTAAAATTATTGGCTAGCAAAATAATGATTTTTGTGTCGAAAATTGACATTTTCGCAGGTTTCACTGACTACGATGCGGCCATATTAGGTACTTATTTGCTATAACGTTATAAATCTTTAGTTTTAAAATGTTATTATTCAAAATCTCTTAAAATTTCCTCTCCAAAAATTAGGATTTTTTAAAGAATTTTTTTTAGACTAATTTTGAACACATTTTAAAATGCATTGTTTTGGCTTGCCGGATTTTAGCCAAACCAAACCGGAAAAAAAAGTTTTTCTTCTTCTTTTTTTAATTTTACTTTTAAATCAATTAAGAAAGACCGGCTGAAAGGAAAATATCCATCTTTTATTAGAACTAATATATTTCAAAAACTGTAATAGTATAAAAGGTATATAAAATTGAGAATTAATTACTATATTGATGTTATAGTATGTTCGGAACAATATGGAGTCGCAATTTTGTACTTTCGAAGCAGCTTGACTACAATTAGAAATCAATTCAGAATTAAAACATGATGAAATAAGTTTAGAAGAATTTCAGACAAAATATATAGCACATAAAATAAGTTATTAAAATTAATAACATTTTATCTATTCATGGAATAAATACACTTTCGATATCGTAAAATTAATATCATAACATATTTTATATGTGTTATTTCACTGAAAATTAATTAGTCCTTAATAAAATTAATTTAGGTACGTATATGTTAATTTTAAGTAATAAAACATTAAAAATTTCATGAAGACCGGCTTTATTAAATGAAAGCTGTCTTTGGAATAAAAACTAGCCGGCCTGTCTTTTTTGCAACCCTCATATCATAACGTGGGAAATTCTAGGGTGTAGCTTTTGCCCCGATTTCGAAGTTAACCTCACTATTGCCAAAATATGTTATAAAGAACATCTCATTTTTTGAAGAGTTATTTTTAGCAATTTAAACTATGTGCAAGTTAAACTAAGCAATGAGACATAATTTCAGCTAAATCTGTTCTATGTTTAATTCAAATTAGAATTTTATGAATATTAAGGCAACTTACTTAAAAAATGTAAGAATTCTGTATAACAAATTATATATTGTCGCATATTATTCTAAACTGAAATTTTTTAACACTTCAGGTGATGCGCCCATTGTTAGAGAAATCAGCTTTTCAAGAAGACGGCCATAGAGCTGCGATCCTCAACATTTCTTCCACATTGGGAAGTATAGAATTGACGGGAACAACATTGTACAGTTGGGTTGATCCCATGGTACCAGCTTACAAAATGAGCAAGGTAAAAAAAAAAAAAATCAATATTTTACTGTATATTAATTAGATATATTCTACACTTGGAAAACTCGTTTTAAATTTATTTCTAAACAATTAAATGATTATGTTCATTACTTGTGTAGATATCTTTTCAATTGAAATTTGCTCTGATTACGCAACATTACACAAAGATTTGTTTTAATTTCTCTTTTTCTTTTAAGTATGAGACACAAATATTCATTTAACTTCTTATTCTCATTGCTGCTATATCTATATATCACTGACAAACAAGTTTTATGCTGTACACACTGTAAAAAAAAGGACTTCTCAAAATTGAGCGAAAATGTGTCAAAATAGCTCCGACTCAAGTTCTAATCGAATTTGAAAACACCAGGTTTTCAAAATTGAAAGAGCATATACTCAGTTTCGAGCAAAATGCATGTGGAGGGAGAAATATGTGAGAAAGATGTTCGTTGGTTGCCAGTAGGGATTCGAACCAAGGACCTTTCGGTTCGTAGTAGGATGCTCTACCATAGTTACACACTCCAGTCCAACATGAATAATGAAGCTATATCCAGGGTGTTTATAAAGTCCCGGACCCATTTTGATGTTTAATAACTCATAAAATAATAAAGATAGATTAAAATTAATAACATAAATGGTTAGATAGACTCAAAAAATTTCATGACCCTTGCCAATGAACTGCCACGTGTGCCCCCTTCGTCGCACGTCGATCGTGAATTTCACGTCTGGTAGCGGCAAGCATGTCGGCATCCACAGAGGTTATTGCATTTGTAATTCTGGCTTTTAGGTCATCAATGTTCGACACGTTAACATTGTCCTTTATAAATCCCCAAAGAAAAAAGTCTAGCGGCGTTATATCAGGTGATCTGGGTGGCCAAGGAATTGGACCTCCTAGCCCAATCCATCTTCCTGGAAAATGGTCATTCAAAGAACTGCGAACGATTATACCCCAATGAGGTGGTGCACCATCTTGTTGCAAAAAGACATGTGGCTGAAGCTCTTCTAGTTGTGGAAATACGAAGTTTTCCTAGATGTCTAAGTATACGACTTATGAGACCGTCTTTTCTGTAAAAAAGAAAGACCCAATGACTAGCTCATGCATTAGTCCACACCACACATTCTGCAATCACAGGAGCATCGTGTCGAACATTGATGACCTAAAAGCCAGAATTACAACCGCAATAGAATCTGTGGATGCCGACATGCTTGCCGCTACCTGGCGTGAAACTGACTATCGACTTGATATTCTCCGTGCGACGAAGGAGGCACACGTGGAAGTTCTTTGACAAGGGTCATAAAACTTTTTGAGTCTATCTAACCATTTATGTTATTAATTTTAATCTATCTTTATTATTTTATGAGTTATTAAACATCATAATGGGTCCGGAACTTTATAAACACCCTGTATAGTGGCCGCCGCAATGCCGCATAATGACGTATCATTCGCTTAAAAATTTTTAAAATATAGCGTTATAAGAAAAAAGTGAAATTAAAACTAACGAAACATTGGGTCCATCTTTTCCAGATTGCAATTCTTTGCACCATTGAAATTGATAATTAGTGTCCAAGTTTTGTGTGCAGCGAAAAATATCACTGTTTTCCACTCAATAAACGTTGGTCTTATTTAGTCGAAAATTTCTGCATTCTTTTTTGAATATGACATTTTTTATTATTATTTTCCCCGTAACTTATGTAGTTTACAAAACAGCTAAAAAATGTTGGTGTCTATTTCAGGCTGCTTTGAACATGGCGATGAGAGTTAGTTCAATAGCTCTGAAAGAGAAAGGCATTCTGGTCGTCATGATGTGCCCTGGCTGGGTCAAGACAGATTTAGGCAACAAAGAAAAAGCCGAGTTAACACCCGAAGAAAGCATATCAGCTATGATCAAAACCATCGGAGAGTTGAACGCGGATCACCATGGAACTTTCATAGACAGATTCGGAAAACCCATACCATTTTGAATAAGTCACTTCACAAAATAATGAACAATTTGGTACCAAGAGTGCTAAGACATAGGATTTATGAAGTTTTTATAGAATAAAATCATCATTGCTTTAGTCTGTTTGATAATTTTTTTATTGACGGCCATTAAGGCAGAGGGGGTGCTATTGCTCCTGTTTTCCAGTGGCGCCATCTATGGTCAAGAATTCGACTTCTGCTATACCCACTCGTCACACCCGCTTATAAGACGGACACATTCATGCCTCCATTCATTCATCCACAGATCGTAATTTTGACCTGAACCAGCGAACGATCAATCTCCAATTCAGTATCTCCAGAATAATTTGTTATGAGAACAAGGAGGATTTTGTGACCCGACAGATTTAACGTGCACCAGTCAGCTTTTACTACACGGGGATTCCTCGGTCAGCTGGATTCGAACTCCCGTTCTCACGAATGAGAGTCCAGCGCCCTACCAACCAGGCAATCCCAGCCCAATTTTTAGATTTATAAAACTATTTGTTACACGATGCACTGATGCCATGCATTAACATACAGGATGTTCCGTGAACATCAACTTTAATTCATATTCGTAGAATTTTCGCCTAAAATAAAGTCAAAAAGTTATGCTCCAATTGTTAGTATTTACGCAATGAAAAAAAAAACTTTGATTGTCTTATTAATAGAGAGATTTTGCATAGCGTTTGTCTTATGTTAAACTTCCCGCTTTTTATCACTTAGGGACTCTGTGATTAGTAGGAAATTTTCACGCATGCACTGCGATGCTCAAATAAATTACCTTTCGACTCCTCTCTATTTCATTTCGGAAAACAAACATGGTTAAATGTTTTGGTAGCGTTTTTAATTTTTCCTCGCTTAAATATTAGTTTGCAACCCTTATTGTTCATACATTATGACTTAATTTTAAATCATGCATATTATGGCCGGTTATAACGGAACACTCCGTACATTTCATTCTCACAATAGACAGAAATTAGTGGTATTTCAATAAAAAGTATGTATTGCAATTATTTATAAAAAGTACGGACTTATAAAACCGAACACAATTTAGTGATCAAACGATTTATAAATAACGCATTTTTTTTCTATATTCAAATTTGAACGTATTTTTCTGTTGAAGGAAGTAAAATAGGTTTTCTTTTTTGAATCACAAATCACTCTACACTACTAAACAAAAACTTTCAAAATTGTAACTTTTGTTTATTATTTCACTTTTGATTTTGTGTCCAACTTAAGTCACTTTTGGGTAGCCTCCTGTCCTGTTGCCTAATACAATATAAAATATGTTATTTTAGTTTTAATGTTTTATGAAAGCAGAGTTTTCTTAGGAATCAGGTGGTGTATAATAATCTCACTTTGAATAAAAAATGCAGTTTTTTTTTATAATTATTACTTACAATAATGCCATATTTTTCTTACAAATTTTCTTTCAATATGTAGGAATCTGTTTTGTCTGTTTCGAATTCAAAAATGAGTTATTGGTCATTTTTGCAGCTTTTTAAAATAGTAACTTCTTATAAAACATCTCTTTTACATTTTATTTAATCATATTTTTATCATAATGTTAATGTTGATAACAGCCTATATTTATCAAGATTACTTTATCATTACCAGCTAACCTATTAAATATGCAAAAATTTTGTCTGTTTCGTTTTGGTGGTGCAATTTTATAATTTGAATATAATTTCAAAGAACAGCAGAACAATCGCCAAATGAGCGATAACGAACATCAGTTGGAAGCTTCCCTTTAAGAAACTTAAAAGCCCAATATTATAAATTTAATAAGATTTCTCATTACAATTATAATTTAACTATTAAAATGTAATCATAAAACTGCATATAAAATATCATGAAAATATATACATCATAGAGTTATGCTAAAGCCATTGGAATTTGTTTATCAAAAGTTTTAGACTCTAGCGACGGCATTTTCCTTCGATTAGGAACAAAATATGCTAAATTATCAACTTCTCATTAATGAAAATATTTTTTTCGAAAAACTGAAACTTTATGACAACTTTCTTTCAATTTATTATTATTATTGCAATAAATACGATTCGATTAAATTCTTCATTCTATGCCTGTTTACATTTTCAAAATTGTTCATATTTTTCATGAATGTTAAAAAGTGGCGAGCAAAAATTTTTAGTTTGGCATCTTTGAAACTGAAGTTTCGCATCCTGATTTACAGCTAGCAGAGTAGCATTTGCTGTTTTCTAAACTAAAAAATTATTTGTAAAAAAAGAAAAAAAATCAGCCAAATTGGAGAGTGGTTGCATTTAGGGTACCTTCTTTGTTTGTGTTGGGATTTATTGCATTATGTTATTTTATTGTTGCCTCAACTTAGTCCTTACAATCCAAGGAAATTAAAAAGAGATAGAGAGAGAGACACTGCGTTCATGACCAAATTACCCAACCTGACGCTACAACTTTAGCATAAGATGATTTTATCCCTAAAAAAAAACCTTCCGAGTATATTTTTGTTTTGATAAATCAGGAAAGATAAAAAGGATAACGAAAATTATTTTAATTACATGAAATTAATTTATCTTAAAATAGACATATGAAATACATTTTCTCATAATCTATCCCTGTAGGTTTTTGCTAGTTGTGATTGTATGGACATATCAATTCTTTTAATAGAAGAAAGATCATAAAGAATAAAGAAACTTACGGCACCATTTTTAATTTTGAAAAAGAGCTGTCTTCATTTTTCTGGACAGCTTCGACTCCAGATATTTTTATCAAAATTCCAAAAAGATTATTTTATTGTTAGTGCAATAAATAGAAACCTTTCATATCAAAAAGCAACATTGATAAAGTTTCGATTTAATAAAGATCAATAAGTAAAATTTAAAAAAAATTAAAAGAATAAAAAAAGAATCTTCAGTTGGCGACATTTTATCTATCTTGGCATAACAATAAATATTGAAATTTCCTATCAGGAATTATCTTAAAACTGGAAAATCATTTACTGTTGCAGATAAAGTAACGTAGCACAAAGGAAATATTAAAATATTACTCCAAAATAATTCTGTGTTTATATAATTACTGACCTTCGGCTTGCGAACGATTGCTCCAAGGTTAAAAACACAGATGATAAAACGCCTATATCATTCGACGAGTGTTCAGTTGAACTGTTCCTCTTGAATTGAAACGAGCTTCGGAAGAATTAAGTTTTTTTAAAATGAAATTTAAGAATATTTTTATAACTGGCGCCAATAGAGGTATTGGCTATGAATTTGCTCGGCAATTCGTATCCAGCAGTGATCCACCACAAGTTATTTTTGCCACCTATCGGAGTGCCAATTCGCTGCAGGTAATTTTTTTTAATTATCGTTTTCTTCTAATTTGTCGGAAATACAAACACATTATATTCATACTTTTTAAAAGAAATGTAAATAAACTAGCTTTCAAATTTTCGCCACTTACATCTTTTTCTGCATAACTATTTATCCCGCAAAAAGGATTTATAGTAGGATATTTTATTTTTTAAATCATTAAAATTGTTAAATAGAAAATGATATCAAAAATGCGCTATTTATAAAATCGTTCGTAAAATATGCGTTCGTAAAACATGTAATTAATAAAATCGTTTTGTATTTTTCTTCAAATTTAAATATTATTCTTTTAATAAATTGAACACGTAAAGTAAATCACTATCACAGTAAATTCTTAAAGGAAAATAATCTTACGTCAGCCATTTAAAAATAGCGTTAAACACTGAAACTTATTTTTACACATTAACTATAGAAAAAATAATCAAAAATAAATCTGACTGTATTTTAATTCTGTGCGAGACAAACTTTTAGAGTGTATTTTGTTTTTTTTTGCAGAAATCCTCGAACCTAATGATGTAAAAGGGGCATAAAAGTGACTATGAGTCAGAATGGAATAATTGTTTTTTAGAAATTTAAGCATAAACTTGTAATATATGCTACTATTTTGATAATTTATATTTCAAAGACCTCATTGAATCTTAAAATTTGGTTTGTTTAGCAATATTTAAAAGAAAAAAGGCATTTTTATAAAATTTGCGCACTTAGTATAAGAAAAAAATGGGTGATAAGCTATTAAAATAAATAAATACTTTGCTGATTAAATTACTTTTTAAAAAATAATAAAAAAAAAAGAAAACGGAAAGAAATAGAATCGTTACAAAGATTTTTAAGAGATAGTCAGCTTTATTAAACTTCTTAAAAAAATTATGAATTCGAGGAAATTTAAATGTTTTGTTCCATAACATTTTGTTGCATGCCGATTGGTGAATAAAAAGTGTTGTTGAAAAAGGACACAGAATTCCATTATTCTAAACCGAATTACCACATCCATTTATTCTAAACCGAAACACTTCTTGAACAGAAGCAAGTTTAGTTTTAAATAAGTTTAGTTTACACCCATATTTTTAATATTGAGTGCTTCAATTTCTAAGAAAAATTCATTATTATGTAAATCATATGAATCAGTTTGTTAAAATGTTGAATACTTTATTTTTTTTATCAGGAACTGAAAGACTTACAAGAGGCATCCAAGAAAACTAAAGTTGTCTTAATTAAAATGGGTAGGTGTTCTTTTATAAAAAAATATTCCTTATTTCTAGGATGTGCTGTATTGTTTATTTTATGATTCATTGCAAACATCATAGAAGTTATATGTAAGAAAGGAGATCATATATTTAAAAATAAAAATTTCTCTTTTAGCATATTATTTTCTTTCTAGTATTTAACAATTTTTTTTTATTTTACATGAAAAGTGCGTTCTAGTTTATAGAATCCACAAATTTTTGCTCACTTCAGTAGTTATTTCGCGCTATTTTTTTAATTACTAAGTGCAAAGAAAATCAGCTGTTTATAATTAATATTTTTTCTGATCCTCCTGAAAAGACTTATTTGATACATTCAGTTTGAAACATAGCATTATATTTTAAATTTTTACTGTTGAGGTCAGAGCCGGATTATACCTTTCGTAGGCCCTAGGCACAGCCGTTTATGGGCCCTCCCCTCCTTCCCCCACTCCTCCCCTCTTTTCAAAATATATGCTAAAATTTTCTTCGTATGGAAACGTATTACGCCATTTTAGATGTATTAATTTCAGAAATGACTAAAAGGCGTAAAGCTTACAGTGATTTGTACGATAATTTCGGTTTTCTTGTTCACAAAAATTTGTCAGAATCTGAGATTAAACTAAAAGCGCAAAATTTGGTGAAAATTTACTCATCCGATTTAGAGGAAAACTTTGTAGATGAATTTTTACTATTTTCAAATTTGTATGAGCATAAATCTGCACAAGAAATGTTGAAGGCTCAAATTAAAGATAAACTTGTGAATACTTTTCCTAACGTTCACATTGCATTAAGAATATATTTGTCGATTCTTGGATCAAATGCAGAAGGAGAAAGATCTTTCTCCAGATTAAAATTGATAAAAAATTATTTGCGTTCAACAATGAATCAAGATCGTTTGGCATCGCTCGCACTTATGTCTATTGAATACGACATTTTGCGTAGTTTGGAATTCGACAGCATAATACAAGATTTCGTTGAATCCAAAAATCGCAAAAAAGTAATATATTAGATCATAAGATTCTGCAAAATAATTTATTACCGAAAAATATTATATTTTTATTTGTATCTTCATAATTTTGTGCAAAATACACTTGTTGTTTTTAAAGCTAAATTATTTTTGTCAAAAATTTTTTTTCTCCCAAGTTCTTCGTAGGCCCCTGAATTTCGTAGGCCCTAGGCACGTGCCTAGTGTGCCTATAGCTTAATCCGGCCCTGGTTGAGGTTCAAGCGTTTCAGCTTAAAATATATTCGATTTTATGGTTGGAGACCTATGTATTAGGATGTAGTTTTAATCATCTGTTTAAAAATTACATATATATATATATATATATATTTTTGTTATATATATACATTGATATTTTTTTGTTATTTCATTTAACAGTAATGAAAATGGAATTTTTGTCTCCTCAATTGCAAGATTTTCGATGACAAAATCTAAATTGTGATACAAATGAACCGATTTATAACACAATCATGAATAGTATACTTCAGAGATAACAATCTAAAAATGCATCTTTTTACTAAAAACAGTTTCACAATTGTTTTTGAGGTTACATTTAAACAATTTACTTCAAGTTTTGATATATTTCATTTAAAATAACACTCCGAAATTTTAAAAAAGTTTCTTACCACTCAACTTAAAAATTAAATGTTTCAGTGCGAAATTATTTGATTCGAGCAATTTCTCAAAAAGCAAAACTAACATTAATAAGGCTCCACATTTTCAATAAGACTTTTTTTTCCTTGAAATTATTTAAAATTTTAATATTACGGCTAATCCTTTGAGAATCACCGGTTCTGATTTTAAAACTTAATCGGCAGATAGCGCTGCTTAACCAACATGTATAAAGTGAGGCTTTTCACCAGTAATATTGTATTTTGGTAGTTTAACTTCGATTATCAAATTATAAGTTATTCAGCTAAGAAGGTTTATTTTCTTTTTTGCTCACAACTTATTGTAATCTGACGCTATATTTACCGGACAAAAAATAAGTCACCCCTGGAGCAGTAATAAAAAGCATAATTTAATTAAGGTAAGCAGAGAAAAAATATGTCAAAACTATAAGAATATGGTAACATTTACCGTATTGTTGTTGTTGTCGTGTCTATGCTAGTACAAAGATTAGAGTCCTCCAAAAGTCTTGATAACAAGGTTTGCAAGTTCTGGAGCCTGATGGCTATGGAGAATTTCGATGGGAGGTGCTCCAAGTTGAAAGAGGGAGTCGATAATAGCCTGGCAGTCAAAAACATGGTCTGGAGTTAGTTGCAAATGAGCACAGTACTTGCACATGGGATAGAATTTTATATGGGTGCGTGAGATCTTCATGCCCTTGAAATGCCAGTACGTAGCCTAGCTATTGTAGAGGAGAGATTTCTTGGGCAGTTTAGATCGGGGATTGTTGCCTTGCTAAAATGCTGGTTGTATATCCTGCGTCTGGCGACAGCATTCGCATCTGCACAGGTGACAGCTCGAGGTTGATCTTCGTCGCGTGCTTCCTTTGCAAGGGCATCTGCGCATTCGTTTCCCTCGACTCCAACATGAGCTGGGATCCACTGGAGAATGCAACGGATATTTAATGAATGAAGAAGGGCATTAATTTCATGGGTTATAGATGTATTACCGTTACGTATTGCTTCGAGTGCTGATTTTGAGTCTGAGAAAATCACGATTTCTTTTATTGAGTCTTTTAGAGATTGGGAGTGACAATAGGCAAGAGCCTCTTTAATAGCGATTAATTCGCTGGTGAAGTTTGAAGCAATTTGGCCAGTGGGTATTTTGAGTTTGACTTCATTTCCTGAGGGGTAAGTGATGGAGATGCCAGCACCACCTCTATTACAGTCAATATCAGAGGAACCATCTGTGTAGACTATTGCGCCGTTTTCCCTGGAAAGTGAACGAACAGTGTCTTCACCTTTTTGTAATAATACTCGGGTTGGTTCCTTCTTTGAGCATGGTTCAAGTAGGTTAGTATTGATTTTAGTATACATAGGGGGCTTGGAAGGAAAGAGAGGCTCTTGAATAATGTCCAAAGATGAGTGGTCAAGACAGACGGATTCTCTGATGTCTCTGTCAAATTGCAACGGTGATGATCTCTGAAGTCTTGACCTGCCTGTCCAAGTGTCAATAACTCTGCGAGCAATGTGGTCTCTATTTACCGTATTTCTGGCTCTATATGAATGTCAAAAAACTCGGTAATTTATACCAAAGCGTTTTGGTAATGATTTTAGTAAAATTAACAATAAAATATGGTTTTATAATAAGTGATAAAATTTGGCAAACGTGGTAAAATGGGGTGATTCTATCATGATACCTTAGCCTTAGAGCATGGCAAGAAACCATTTATTCTGTTAAATTTACTTTTCAGTTTTGTATTTTTTAATTTTCGCAATTTTTACTGTTTGTAAGAACTATGATTTTGAGAACCAGGATTTCCGGTAAACCGTTACCATATGAACAGAGAGATTACTAAGCGAATGATCTAACTATCGTATATTTTGGTTTCATGAAGAAAAAAAAATTGCATTATCATATGGTACTGTAATTTTACCAGAACTTTTTTCTCCGTGTGGATCTGCGAAGTTGTTATTCTGCTCACTGAGGTGACTACTAGTACACTGTAAAAAATTTCTAATCGAATTACAGTGTAAAGTACCGACACTTTGAGAGTATCATCCCTAAAATCCATTTTACTGTAATTATACCGTAAATTACAGTAATATTTATTTTACTAGAATGATTCAGTAAATTTACTTTAATTATTAATGTAAAAATTACGGTATATCAGATTTTTGATTCCGTAACATACTCTGGTAAAAATGAATTTTACCGTGAAAAGTACCGGCACCCTGAGTACCGGTACTTTTTACCATAATTTGATCTAGAATTTTTTACAGTGTATGTTTGTTTTATCATTCTGGATGAGCAGGTATTATCTTACACTGACCTTTTCGTGATGAAGTATGCTATTGATACCTCTATGTTTCAAGATGATAACAGCTAAGTTAATCAAACTTGAAGATAAGGCGATTGAATGTATAAAGCTTAATCAAACTTTTTCATCTCGTGGCAAAATCAACAACATCCCATAGAAAATCTGTGGATACGTTAAAACAGTGGGAAAAAAAATATTTTGTTTTTCTTTTTTTTTTCTCTAGTCCGAATTGGTAAATTTGAGTGATCAGATCCTCAGCCAGCGATATAAACTGGAGGCGCCATAAATGTAGTTCCTTGTGAATTGGTGTGTGCACTACCTAATCAAATTTAGGTGCTCCTGAGGCGGAGTTACTTAATGCTTTTTTTTTTTTTAATTTCTCCAGGGAATTTTTTGCCCGGTGATCTTATCCCTGTACTAAAATATATTTAAAAAAGTAGTGCGTGGAGTCCCTCCGCGTGGAAGCAGTTAAATTTCGCAACCTGCGACGTTAATTGTAGAAGAATCAGCAGTCGTAGAAGGATCACTAGTTCTATTCAACGACTCTTTTTTCTGCTCCGCTCGCTTCCGTGCTCTGTAATCACGGTAATATTGTGCATTTTTCCCTCGAGGACCTCTTGAACCATCGTGGTTGCCTCATCATCTCGCCCTGGAAAATGTATTTGTATTAATAATGTATGTGAATGCGTTATAATATAATTTCAAAAGAGAAAACCTAACAATCAATTGATATTCACAAGAGACGTGCCTTGACATAACCTTAAATCCGTCGCATTGTCCGTGGGATTGTTTTCACTCATTTTTTACAATTGTTATCCACTAAATTTGAAAATAAAAAATACTACCCTATTAAATTATATGTGTATCAAAACAAACTAAAAAGAATATTTATAGAAAAACAATACTTTTATGACTTTTATTATTTTTATGCTAGTGAGAACCAAAACAATATGGAAATGAATAAGGGAAAACTGGATCCTACCACGTGATTTCTCGGCCATTAAAAATGTAGCGTTAAACGTTTAACGCAACATTGTTGGAAGTCGCATAAGAAGTATAACTTCAATAAATAAATAAATAAATTTGAACCTTATTAAATCTTTCTCCCCAAAACATACAGATGTCACTGATCCAGAAGAAATAGAAGTTGCTAGACAAATCGTTGAAACAAACGTTGGGGAAGAAGGCCTTGATCTACTCATCAATAATGCTGGCATTTGTGAAGTTACTCCCTACGACGGAATCACCGTTGAAAGCTTGGAAAAACATTTCAAAACAAATGCTGTAGCTCCTTTATTGATTACAAAGGTAAATTTTATTATTCGTTCGTAAAATTTACAAATTTAACACTTTAATGCTTCATTATTATATTTGTACTAAGGGACCCTGAGGGTCATTTTAACAAAATGTCGCAACAAAATGTTCCTTGTTGACAGCACTTACTAAATTTAATATAACACTGTTATGTTTGATAACCTCTATTTTATTTTTCCGCAGTGTACTGATCGTAAGACACGGTTACCAGTCAGTAGATAATCGAAGTCAAGGACGAGAGGTGTTGCTTTTAGCAACGGAGTTCTTAAGCCACAGAGGCTCGCACCTCCGATATAATAATTGATTGGGGAAAACAATATTTGGGGATGTTAAATCAAATAATTTCACCGAAGTCAAGCATTACAGGTGAGTGGGTATGTGGCCGCTTTGATCAACTGCGAAGGGTCCGAAATTGCACGGTATCGGTTCTTGTTGAACTGTTCTGCAGTAAAGTGTTTAACTTCGTGGACATCGTCGGGCTACCAGAGCAGGGGATTGATCCCCTCTGCAGCGGATCAAAATTATGATGGTATATCATCTGATCAACCTCAGGGATGTTTCCCAGATCGTCGCCAATCGGCCATATTAGAGCCGTGATGGCTCAGGGATAGAGCGTTCGCCTTCGAATGAGGTGATCCGGGGTGGAATCCCAGCAATGGCTGGTCGATACGAATTCTGCACCCGGCTCGCACGGACCACATTGTTGACGTAAAATATCCTCATTGGTAGACGGATCATGGGTAAGAGTCCCCTTGTCTTCAGGCTAACCGTGGAGATTTTCGAGTTTTTCTTCTCCATCCCACGCAAATATGGGAAGTCTTCCACGAAGGTTAATTTCTCCCGCTACTCGATCTAGGAGTTCACTTGTCTTCTGGATTATGTTCAAAATTGCAAGACTAAGAGATTAAACATTTGTAGCCGTAAACTCAAAATTCGGTTTGGCTGTTCACCGACTGTTATAAAATAAAATATTCCATATAATAATTCTAGTGCGACGTAAATAAAATACTACTATTACTTCTAAGGGTCTCTGTCCCCTGCACGCTTCGCTCACATCCCTTGATTGCTCTGTAATCAGTTTTTTGTTTCACTATAAACAAATTGTTACATTAAAATTAAAAGCAGTTCACCAGAAAGATCTCAAAATGTTTTATTGTATTAACACAGGTTTAGTTTCTAAAATTTAGTTACAAAATCTTTCAAGATAAAATTTAAACTCAATCTTTTTGCTCGGTTATTAGTGAAATTTCATGTATAATTTTGTTTTTTAAATTCCTATTTGATTGTTTGTTACGATCAAAATTTGTTAAATGTTTTTAGCTAAAGAGTATATTTAATAATAGTGCAAAAAGGTTAACTCTAATTCCTGAATATGCTTTCCAATTTTGTATTCATTATTTTAAATGTTTATATTGACTTATTACGATTTAATATGAAACTTATTATATAAGCAAATATAGTTTATTTTCTATCTAATAATTGTAAAAAAAATTAATAAGTTCGATACAGTTTTATGAAATAATGCGTAATTATAGGATTTCTTTGCAATAAAGGGATATTACTTTAATTTGGAGTAATAATCAAAATCAAAAACCTAAAATAACAGTGAATAACATCAAAAAAGATTTGTAAATAAGTATTTCAGGCAAATAACTTTTTAATAGCTACTATAATATTCACATAAATAGTAGTAGAAAAATAGGAATTATTAATCCATATTTTGTTTAAATGTCAACCTTAGTGGGATATTTATTGATTTTTCATAATTTAAAGACAAAAAGAAATCGATACAAATAAAAAAAAAACTAAAGAATGTGGAAAGCATAGCATTATTTATAAAGTTCCATTACAAATGCCCTTATGTTTTTAGAATCCTTGTTAAAAGAGCATATACACTACGAGTTGAAAATTAATATTTAAGCTAGGAAAAAACAAAAACTATATCGAAATCGAAAGAATCACTATTAACATGGGCGAGACTAAAATAACATCAAAATATATCAGTGTGAGGGCACAGAGTAGAGTTGAAAACTGATTACTGGAAATACCTTCAATTTGTAAAGGACAATCAAACACGTTATTATTTTTTATAGAGTTTTTGATTTTTCCTCGCCTAAATATTAATTTGGAATTCCAACATTGTATGCTTTTTCTCTTATTTTCCGACAAAAAAAGGTACATGAAGGGCAGCAATTATGGTACACTCTATAAACTGGTAAGAAATAAAAGAAGTAAAACAGAAAACCGTAAATAAGAGTAGGAGAAAAAAAAATGTTGTTAATCCTCTGCCAATGGAAGCAGTCACTGTAAGAAGGAATTAAAGTACTGCAGAAATAAAATTTTAAATTTCAATACCGATTTAGAATTTGGCTGAATTTGAAGTCAAACAATATTGGAGCATGGGTGTATAAATTTCTGTTAATACTTATTTGCTGCTACAACTCCTTGCACTATATGCGTATTATATTCAATAAAGAATCATCTACATTTCTCATTCTATGTAGCGAAATAGATGCAGCAACTTATTTCATATATAAAAAAAACATAAAAATGCTTTATTTTGTATTAAAAAATAGCCGAATTTAATTGTTTCGATGTGTGTGAAACAAAATACTAACTACTTTAGAAGATTCTCAAATTTTTTACTTATTGTTTTGCATTACAGATTTTTAAAAATTTTGCAACATGTAATCAAATGTTATACTTAAATAAATATGTCTTACAAGCATCTTTATAATTGATTTTTAGGCATTGACTCCGCTACTGGAAAAAGCAGCTGTTCAACAAAATGGTTATAAAGCGGCAGTTCTCAATATTTCTGCAGCTCTTGGAAGCATGGGATTGACGGGAACTATTCCCTTTGAAGTCAATGTCTCTACCTACAAGATAAGCAAGGTTCAGAAATTCATTCATAATATTTTTTATAGTAGAAGAATTTATTTATTCATTGAAAACTTACGTCGCAGTGCTTGCTATCTAAAAATAGTTTTCGAGGCAAAGTTTGGAAATTTATTTATATTTTTTACATTAGAAGAACTTATTTATTTATTGAAAGCGTACGTCGCAGTGCTCACTATCTAAAAATAGTTTTCGAAGCAAAGTTTGGAAATTTATTTATGTTTTTTATAGTAGAAGAATTTATTTATTGAATGCATACGCCGCAGTGCTCACTATCTAAAAATAGTTTTCCAAGCAAAGTTTGGAAATTTACTTATATTTTTTACATTAGAAGAACTTATTTATTTATTGAATGCATACGTCGCAGTGCTCACTATCTAAAAATAGTTTTCCAAGCAAAGTTTGGAAATTTATTTATATTTCTTTATATTAGAAGAATTTATTTATTTATTGAAAGCATACGTCGCAGTGCTCACTAAAATCGAAAACTATTTAAAAATAGTTTTCGAAGCAAAGTTTGAAAATTTATTTATCTTTTTTATATTAGAAAAATTTAATTATTTATTGAAAGCATATGTCGCAGTGTTCACTGTCTAAAAATAGTTTTCGAAGCAAAGTTTAGAAATTTGTTTTATATTTTTTATATTAGAAGAATTTATTTATTTATTGAATGCATACGGCACACTTCTCACTATCTACACAGCATGCGCTTTTTAAATTAACTCAAAGGAAAACGTAAAGAAATTCAAATTTCGAAAAATATTCATTATTTAAATACTGAAGTTGAGTTGTAATAAATAAGTAACCATGTGCCATTCAAGGATGTCACAATTTAAAAATGTCGACGATAAAAAAGATGACAAAAATTTCCTTGAGAAAAAAGGAGATGGTTTATTTTGAAAGAAAAAGTCTGAACTTAATGGTAGAACAGAAATTTAAAAAAAAGGAAGAAAAAAAACTGAAATTGAAGCACATTTTGTTTTAACGCAATAAGCTTCAAAGTACAGAAATATATATATATACATATGCATATATAAAGAAAAAACGCGTCTAAAAAATTCATAATTAGATATCTAGTAAAAAAAAATTCGAAAATCGAGCTTTGTAATTTATTTGCAAATGTAATCATTTGGCTTCATGCTAAATAAGTTAAAAATTCGTTTAATATATTATTTAGAAACTGATTAAAGTGTTAGGATTGGAGGAGAGTTTGAAGAATTAGAATGTTTTAATATAGTTTCGCTGTGCATTCGGTTTGGACACTATTAAAGTTTATAAGTGATACAAGATAACTTTAAAAGGTGACTAAGTTGATCATCAAATGTGGCTAGCACATGCATAGAGTTTGACTGTTTACAACGCCGGTGTACTCAATCTACGAACTCTAACTTAAAAAAAATATTGGAAATCACTAGAATTGTATAAATATCTTCTTCTAAACGTCCCATTCTTTTGTAACCCCCACTTGGGACAAATGGAGATGAAGTATATTTATTTAGAATGAACTAACTGTATGCTGTAGAGATCGCTAAACCATCGATCGAACTAAAGAGCTACTAGTAGCTCGCAATGACATTTTCGGTAGATAGTACCACGCTCAGTTTCTACACTGTGTGAATGTAAGATTAAATATAAGAGAGATTTTTTTCTTTTTTATGTTGCTGGTTATTTGGTTGGTGGCTCACATTTAAAAACTGTATTAGCTATCAAAATCGGCTATAGGTGGCGTATAGCTGAACTTTTTACCTATGGCAACATCAGGCATGCTTCCAACATTATCATCTGGTTAGTCATAGGAGTTGAAAGTACGTTAGTTTATGACCTGATTTTCAAATCGATTAAAAAATTTTAAGCTTGGGAACTATTTGGAATTGAAAACTTCCTAAAACGTAACGCTTAAGGTAAGCATCGTGAAAATTTTAAAATAAATTTTTGACAATCTAAATGCGAAAAATATTATGGAAGGGGGAAACATCGTAATACATTCCCATGTAACTGAGCAGTGGAAAAGGGGGACATGAAACTGATCTTCCTCCCAGATGGCGTCGTATTCGAGTGTTATGATCGAGAATGGTAGTTCAGAAAATTGACTTTAAATCTGACATTTTCCAATTATGCATCAGTAATATGTATTCTTAATTATAGTTGAATTAAAATTTAAAAGGTGGAAAAAAAAGAGCTTGCAGTAATCCCACATTCTTATATTCTTTCCAGGCTGCTTTCAATATGGCGATGAGAGTTAGTTCTTTGCCCTTAAAGGAGAAAGGTATTCTCATAGTGATTATGTGTCCTGGCTGGGTCAAGACAGACATGGGCAACAGAGATATGGCAGAATTAACGCCAGAAGAAAGCATTTCAGCCATGATCAAAACAATTGAAAGTGTGACTGAAAAGGATCACGGAACTTTTGTTGACAGATTTGGAAAAACAATACCGTTTTAAAAAAAATCATCATCTGTAACTGAAAATAATTTAATTGATGTCATTTGAAGGCAAATTGACATAAAGAGAGTAAATTTTTCTGTTTCGAATAGTACTCCTGATAATAAAATATTTCGGATGCCTTTAGTTCTTTCTTTCCCTTTTTTCATGAAACTTTTGATCTAATGATCGGATTTACACGTAATAAAACTCAATCTTAATGGTTTGAGGGGATGACCTTAAGTATGTTAATTTACAAGCGCAGACGATATAGGTTACGAAATCAGAGACAAATATATACTTCCTCTGAATAAATAGTTTTTCCGTCGGATTTCTGACCCTCAAAATGTATGGTTCCGATAGTTTGATCAGAAGAGCTGTCCAAAATTTGAACTCCTTAACACATAGATTTTTTGGAAAAAAAACCGGCCAAAAAATAAAAATTTTTTTATGTAAAAAAATTTATTCCGCTCCTGGTTCAACTTTTCTTTTGGTGGACAATTTTGATATACTGCGCTTTTGTTCCATGAAAAAATGCTATATATTATTCTTGGATAAATAAGTGTTATAGCTTACAATCCCATGTAAATGATAAATATCCATAAAACAATTTTTTTCCTTAGTTTTCACACTGTTATTTTCAATTTATTCGAGTGTGAAAAATTATAGCAGCATAAAATACAACGCCGCTCGAATTATCTCGAGTGTGCACAGTTATTTGGCCTGTTTAGCGAGCTCGAATTAACTCGAGCACACAAGTTAAGGGGTTAGTGATAATTTAACTTTTTGCGTATTTCGTAAATTCTCAAAATTGGAATTTTTAAAAATTTCTCGATCTATGGCGAAATACGCAAAAAGTAAAATTAACAAAAAGAGGTCTAACTTTTGGACCGCTCTCCTGATCAAACTATTGGGACCATATGTCCTAGATTCGATCCTCTCTCATTATTTTAGCGGTCAAAAATTCCAATTCTTTAAAACAAAGGTATATTAAGTACGTGTTTGTGTCTAATTTCATAACCTAAAATACCGTCAGCAATAACTAATTAGCATATTTGAGGTCACCCCCTGAAATTAAGTTTGAGTCTTAGTACGCGAAATTCTGATTAGATCGAAAGCGGTTCTGGGTGTTTCGTTTATTTTATTTATTTATTTATTGTTTTTTTGCGCCCCATATGGAAAAAACTAAACAGTAGGGCCGGAACGATCGTTATTCCGGATAACTGATTTTTCCGGATTTCTGAATCGATACAAAAAGCAGTTTTTTTATTGTTAAACCCAACTAAAAAAACAAAAATAGTTGGAAATAATCTTAAAAAGAAGAAAAAACGATGAAGTAATACACTAATGATTATTTTAAAAAATGATGGTAAGGTTGAAGTGAGTACGAAATGCGGGTTTCTCTTAAAGCATATTTATTTCATGAACACAAACATCAATATAACATAAACTAAATTAAACATTATGGGTCGTCCTGCNTTTTGATTTCCGGATAACGGGTTCTGTACTGTATTTATATAGAACAATTTGATAAAATTTCTCTACAACACTGGATTCATCTATGATTAAAAAAAAAAATTAAAACGAAATAAATTACTTTGAAACATAAAAGTTATTTATTTATTATTGAAAACAATGAAAGTTCATTTCAACAAAGCATATCTCAAATAACACCTTAAAAATGGTGAAACAGTAAATAAATTTTAGTAGTATTAATTACTTTAGGTATGTATGAAGTGACTTAGAATTCGAACACATCTTAAAATTCAATGCTATTAAAAAAAGCAAATGAATTTATATTTTATGTAGTTGATCACACAGTTGTATTTATAAATATGTTTTTTTTATATATTCTTTGTTCTGAGGCAGTATAAAATACGTGGCAGTTTTATACAACATCACCTTGAGAACGTAAAAGCCTAGTATTAAAAATAAAATAAAAGTTCAACACGGAAATGACAATTGGTAAAATTTTGTACCGTTTCAGGATTTCGTCACTGATAACGTCTACAGTTTTCAGGTGTATCTCGTAAAACTTTACGACTATCAATTATTTCTAGGCGTTATTAACTTTTTCTTTAGGGTCTGCTAAGACACGTTTTTCTGCCTAAAATTTTATTTCCAAACATGCCGATCACAATAATAATTAATGTAGTGTAATAAGTTAATACAAAATAATGCTAATATCGAGTTATTTTACATTTAATATTTTGTTTAAGGAATGAAGCTTATATTAATATTACATTCTTACAATTCCAGTCAATATATGCAGTGAATTGCGTACTTTTTCTTTCAGTTTCAGTTTTTAATAATACTTTATTTGCAATAAAAATGTTGCATTAAAAAAAAAAGTTATGCATTATGTTTCTTAATTTTAATATTCAGAACCATCGCTCGATTTCTCGGGTTCCTGGGAAAAACAATCCTCTAGGAAATTAAAGCACAGACCTCACATTTTTGCTTATAATACTAAAACTGCGATTTTCTTTTTAAAACTTCAGGCCTACATCAAAAAAATTTTAATCAAATTCTATGCTATCGTTTCATTTTTAGATTTTATCTACATATCTGTGACCGAAGTTTGGCATTAAAGGGCGCTTCATAATAATCTTTAGTTATTAAAAAAGTGAAGTATTTTCACCACAGCCCGTTGTGTGCCAGTGCCAGGAGAATCATGGAGATTAAGGCTGCGAGTGATTTTGTGATCAACGACATGATTGAGGCGACGCGGTCAACACTGCACACAAACCGCCTTTACTGTTCAGGCAAACTGGTAACCATCAATCCGAAAACTGGGCGAGCTTCAAGCCAACACTGAGGATCGAACCCCGGTCTTTACAATGACAGCTCAATGCCTTTAACCACTAAGCGTAGTTCCTCAAATTGTTTAAATAAGTTTAATTTCCTAATTTAACAATCTTTATTTATAAGAAGTTTTTTTTAAATTTTTTATATGGGTTCCTTAGAACTATAAAGATTACTGCCTTTTCTCTTTCTACATGATAAAATAGAAAAGGTTTTAAGTTTCAAGAATAAAGGAAATTTAAAAAAAACTATCAATTAGAATTATTAAATCGTGGGCAGATGCTCTGCTTATCTCACCCTTTCAAGGGTTGGGTTAATAATCATTCTCAAATTAGAAGAAATTTTTAAAAATGTGTATCAGTATTTTAGAAAAACTTATCAATGGTACATATTTATCATTCTAAACAGGATTATATTTTTGTCATTTCCGTGTTAAAACTTAACACTGAAACAAACATGTTCTTAATAGTAGGAAATATTTACAAAAATTATAAGATTTTGCATATTATTCATACAAACTTTTAAGATCAGAATAACTACAGGATTATCAATATGACACACTTGTAAGCTAGATGAATGCTAAGAAAACAAAATTAATGATATTTCTTTAATAGATGACAATGCAAAGAAACTTTTATTATAATGTAAAAGTTTTTAAATTTTGGGATAAGCACATAACTATAAATGTGAAATAGTAACTGAATAAGAAAGCTTAAAAAAATAAATAAATCTTATACATAAAATTTAATAAAGAAAAGAGATTTTTTTCTTCACATTTTGTGATAATTCAATATTTAAATTATAAATCTGTAAAAATGTTAAAAAATAGTAGTGATGTTAATAAATATATATATATATTTTTATTTACAAGTAGAAAAAAATTTACATTTCTTTAAAGGAATAAGTCAAAACACGAGTTAACGTAATGTTAAAATTATCATAATCTTTCAGTTTCTAAAAACAAATTTACATTACAAATAATAAAAATATAGAGATTCTTTTATTTTAAAATTTAAGAATAACTTAACAATTGTGCAGTAAAAAATTATACATTTTTAATAAAAAGTATATGCAGTAAATATTTTATTCAAATTATAACAGCATTTTAGAAAATTTACATTTTAATTTAAAAAAAACTATCTATATTAAATATTACTTTCCTCCAAAACAACTTTAAATTAAAACAAATATATGTGCTCAAATACAGACATAAAATAACACTTTATTTTTAAACTTAAAAAACTAGGATTGATTTACTAAAAGGGTTTTAAACATTACCCTCTAAAAGATTGCAATGTTTTTAAACAATCTAATTTAAAAATAATAGTTAAAATGAAAAATAGACAGATTTATCTTTAAGCTACATTTATAATTAGTAATGATTTTAATAAAGCAAATGTTTGATTTTTTTTTTAAACCGAAGTACAGACATAAGTAAGTAAATGTAGAAAATATAAAGCGATTGTACATTCTTTCAGGAATAATTTCTTTAATAAATACATAATTTAGATAAATAAATATATACTTTAAAATAACAATTTAATAATAGTTTTGCTTGTAAATAAATAAAAAAGTATTCTACAAAGAAATAGCTTTATTTTCTTTCGATCGTATAATTAGATTTTAAAAAGTTAACCCTTTAACACCCAGCCACAAAAAGTGGTCTACATATGAAAAAAGTGGTAGTACATACTTATTAGTTTATACCACGGGGATATTACTTTCTATTACCTACCATTTAAGCATTAAAATAAAAATATTTATATTATCAATACAGGTCCCACACTAAGGATTTCAAATTATTAGCTAGCAAATTAGCCAAATATCAAAAGTATTTGCCAATTTTCGAAAGTCTTCGCCAAATACAAATGTTAACAGTTTTTTTATAACTAATTTTTACAGTAGTTTGTCTTAGGCTTGCATATTATTTGGACCAAATTCTAATTGGTTATGTATTATGCCAAAAATTACTGTAATCAAATGAAAAATACTGCTTTAATTAGAAAAATTCATTTTGACGTAATTTTGAGGATCGAGTTAAATATATTTTTTTTCTTTTCAGAGGAAAAAATTAATTACCAAAACACAATTTTATTCGCCAAATTTACGATTTTATCGCATTTGGCAAGGTTGCAAATGCTTAGCATGGGCTCTGCAATATATTATGGTAGACTGAACAATCCTGTTTCTGTAAAATTCTAAAAACAACACTTGTGCTACCACTTTCTATTTTAGAAAAAGGAACCATAATTTTAAAAGGACACAAGGCTCAAATGGGTTAACTTTTAGGAGTCTGCTTATAAATAAATAAAATTTATTCTACAATGAAATAAGATTTTTAGCTCAATTGTCTTTTGATTGTATTGTCTGCATTTAGGGTCAATTACTGGGCACAGGTAGAGATATCAATTTTTTATTTCTACAAAATAAAATAATACCAAAGACCAATATTCTAAAGTGATTATTTCGAAGGAATAAAACGTACTTTATTATTCAACATAAATTTGAGAGATTGAAATGAAATTATTTAAAGTTAATAACTGGATTTATGAACTTCAAATTATATTTTATTATCAAATTCAATTAATATTTAATAACAATCCCTTCCTTTTTTTCAAACTTCTTCTAACTCTCAAATAAAGAATACATATTTATTGCCCACATTTTGGGAAAGATATAAAAAAAATTCAAAAAATAAATAAAATTAACAAAAATATGGAAGTTTTTTAATTACAATACTTAAATATTAATTCCCAGTTGAGAATATAAAAATAAATCCGTTTAAAAATAATGTAAACAGGCACTCATTTTAAAAGTTAAATTTGAGATTATATATTTCAATTAATTCTTATAATTTATAAATGCATACTGTAGAGAATCATATGGCATTATATAAACAGCAACAATATAATATTTTCAAAAGTATATGCTTTCATCAAATAGAACATCATATATATCTTTGGAAACAAGTATAATATTCAAAATTTCCATACCATTTTTCACAATTATTTACAATAATAGCATTTTGTACTTCTTTACATATTCAAAGAACTTCTTTCACTTTTCAAAATCATTTACATTATTTAATTCACATTTAAAAAAAATATTTAAGAAAAGGATATGGCTCATTTGACTATACCATTTGCTTTAAAGTGACAGAATTTAAAAAAATAAATAAAATAAAAAATTTTGTTGCTTTTATTTGCATTAAAATTTTTTTAGTGCTATAGAAAATTTTTTGTTACATATAAGAGCACAACTTTATTTAATTTTTAATATAAATCATTAGAGTCAGAAAAATCATATGTACAGTGAAACCCATTTAAGAAGTTTCTGTTAAAAAAGTTCTCCCATTTAAGAAGTTTCTGCTAAAAAAGTTCTCCCATTTAAGAAGTTTCTGCTAAAAAAGTTTTCCCATTTAAGTGATTCTTATTTCAATTTTATTCTTGTTTCATTTCTACAATACTTAAAATGAACGTAGCAAGGGTTCAATTTTTGAGAGGGGGAGGGGGGTGAAAATAAAATACACAGTCATAATAGGTCTCAAAATTTCAAACCTAAGGAAAAAAATTCTTATGTCTGATAAATGTTTGCAAAAAAAAAATTATTATTTTCCATTTCTCATTCTCGCTTTTAACTTTAATAAATTTAAATGATGATGATTCATAAAAATTTATTTATTTGTCTGAAATATTGAAGGGGAATTTCAGAGGTTTCTACTTATTGGGGGGGGGGGGATAAATATACACAGTCCCTCACTCCAATGATACTTACTTAAATCTTTTAAGAAGTTCTGCTCTGAATTTTCTTTTCCAGTCAAAAAAAAAAAAAAAAAAAAAAAAAAAAAAAAAANAAAAAAAAAAAAATTCTCCGGCTACTAGTTTTCCTTTCAAAGCTTGGAACATCACCAGAAAAAGTATACATAAATGTTTGGAAATAAAGCTCATTGTGGCAAAAGCCTCAGAATTTTTGAAAAAGGCTCTAGTTCAGAGATTGTGAACCTGTGTCACATGACGTGAATTTCAGTGGCATGAAAGAAATTCATATTAAATTAAATTCACTGAAGACAGTATATTAGGCAAAAAAGAACCCCGATACTAGCAACTATCAAGGGCAGAATCAAAAACAAATATGACAAAAGGCGTCATTTTTCCTGGATACAAGAGTAACTATTACATTATCCTCTATTGAACTATTTGAAGGGGAAACTAGATCTTTCATGGGAAGTTTTTGTAAAGAGAGAATCTTAATTTAAAAAAAATTACATTATGGTAAATTTGCCCAATGTTGTGAATAGATGTTTTCCTCAATGAATTCCATAATACATTATTAATTGCAAGAAATAGCCTTGTTTCAAGTTTAAAGAAAGTTTATAACTAAACAGTAAACATAGTTACACAATGTAATTTGATTGTTTAAAAGAAAAGAAGTGGCTTATAGATTACTTTTTTTAAAAAGTAATATAACAAATGGCACTCAGAAGAAGACCTGAAAATAAGACCAAAGTTTAACTGGCACACTAATCCAAAAAGCTTCACACTCTCTGCTCTAGATGGCCTTGATTAAGTGGTCACTTTCCCCCTTCAACATTCACTTATAAACAAGTGTTAAGGAAAAAGTAGAGAAAATGAATCATTAGAACAATATAAGGAAATTTTTTAAAATTTAATTGAAAGTAGAAAATGTGCCAGATGTTTTAATTTTTATATGTCTGTTACTGTCAAAAATAATTTTAGTAAGTATAACCCATATCTATGTTTTAATTTTTATGTCTGTTACTGTCGAAAATAATTTTTAGTAAGTATAACTTACATCTGTGTTTTAACATTTATGTCTGTTACTGTCGAAAATAATTTTAGTAAGTATAACTCTCATCATATTATGATACTATGACATAAACAAGAACTCATGCAGATCATTGCAATAATATATACTAAATGATATTTTAAAAACTCGATTAAGCCTGGCAGTTTAAAACCTTTTACTTTTTAAGACTTTTTTTTCTTAAAAAAAAAAAAAAAAAAAAAGCTATAAATAAAGTCNAAAAAAAAAAAAAGGAAGAAAAAGAGAGTTTCACTGTACATTTAAATATAAATAAATTAGACACATAATAAAAATGATAATCATTAGACACATAATACAAAAATAAATAAATCATTATTTTCTTAGAAATTTAATCTCAACACAAAACTAAAGCATAATCAATAACAAACATAAATTTCAATATAGGTGCATTTAACAATTAGAAAAAGTGAAAAGTAAAATTTTCCTTTAATTGAAATAAAAAGTTTCAAATATTTTTCATTAAAAGTAATAAAAATTATAATTTCAAAAGTAAAAAAAAAAAATAGTGAAACAACCAACAATCAGTACTTCTTAGAGTTGCCAAAATAAACCGGTATTCATAAATTGTGTAATAATCATTCAACAAATGAAAATCAATATAAACATTTAAAAACTCAACAAATCTTTTATAATAACAATTTCTGAGTGATTATTTAATACTGATAAGGTGACACGGGACATCACAAATATTGCATAATCACCAGAAAAATGTTAACAAACTTGAAGTGAAATAATGGGTGTCTTAGGAAACATGGATCTGTTAAAGACCACCTCCAATAATTTAAATCCCATCCTCACTTGCATCTTCATAAAGTCTACCAATTATAAATAAATGAATGAACTCAAAATTTAAATATTTGGAGGTGTTTCCTTGTTTACAAATCACAAAGACACCCATTAACAAACATGCAAATGGAATACGTACATATAAAAAAAAAATATATCAAGTGCAGCTCAAATGAGTGATTGATAAGTCTAATCTTTGGAATAGATATAATAATTTCTTTCAGTTTTTATACACCAATATAATACAGATACTTATCACTGATTTTCAGTCATACATTCTTGGCAACTTTTTGTTAATGTTCAAAGATCTATTGACTAACTAGCATTAGGTGATTTTTCTTGTGATTGTCGAGTAAAAAAAATAATAAGTAAAACTAGGTCTTTATGAAACAAACTACTTTTCATTAAGACTTTTGTTCCATAACAATAAATCCTGGTGGACGTTACATTTATATTTTAAATAAGCAACCTTTTAAATTTCGCACAATCAACAAGCTTTTGGTTTATCTTAGTAATTTGGGTAATAAGCAAAAAATAAAAAAGCTATCTCCATTTCTCAGTTACTGAACTATTGGTTATAGAAATTGCCTAGAAATTTCAGGAAAATTTATTTTAGGTATTTTGAGATAATACAAAATATTTCACTTTTCCAGCATTTTTTAGTTTTTATTTGAAGTCTATATTTCAAATGCAGTTTTGAAACTATTAACATCTACTATTATCCCACTAAACTTTAAAATTTTTCTTTTAGCCCCTGCAATTAGATGAATATGATTGCTAATTTTGTTGCCAAATGAAATATTTTATTACAATTTGGCATGATAGCAATAGTCTTATCTATATCTGTTAAATAATTTATTACTGAAGTAATTTAACGTGTCTCATTTTATTAAAAAACAAATATTTAAACAATAAATAATTCTAGTCTTATTTTTAGAATAAATGCTCAGGAAAATTAATTTTAAAAAGTAGCTGCTCAAAAACTATTTTTCAATAATGGTTCATAAGTAACTTAAAAGTTGGAAAATAAATTCTTTACTTTCCTTTTATGAAATATGCAAGTAAAATTTTTCAGTACTTTTTTCAGGATCAAACAGATTTGATTAAACAAGAAAGAAAACAGCGCTAGATGCCTACTTTTTTACATCAACAAATATTTTCCAAGGAAATATGACCAAAACTAATTGACAAGCATATATAAGGCTTTTTTTTCCTGCACCTAGATTGTATCAAGATGCACTTTAGTTTTAGTCACTGATTTAACACCACTCCCAGATGAGATTGAACTTGGTGATGAACTATTTGAATCTTTACACCTAGACGATTTTCCAGATGAACTGGATGATTTTGGTACTAAGGTCACTTTGTCAGGTGCAGTGCGACGTTCAGAATCACTACCTCCCTCACTGGCAGATGTTTTATTGCTTTTCAAATGTCTTGGAGGAGAGTTTTTGCACCTACTCTCTTCCACTGTATGAGATTTTTGCTGACTATAGCAACTTGAACACATATAATGAGTGTCCACAGATCCATTAAGTTTGCAGCCAGGTTTGATGCAAGGTGAAGAACAATCTCGCTGATCACTCCGAGTTGTTTCTGTTACTCCATCTTGCTTCTTTTTGCTTTTTTCTTTTAGGAATCGACATCTGGCAGAATTTAGGTAGTTTCTTATCATTTCTTCTTGGTACTCGTGCCTGTTGTCGGTGTGAATAACTGCTGCAATGATGTTATCCGGAGTTCCGACGATGCCGCTGGCAGACAGGCGAATAGAGAGTAAAGTGGGGTCTTTGACTTTGCTGTTTTTTAGCGAGTCAACAGATTTACTCTCTGGAGTACCTCTAAAAGAAGCTCTTCGTGTAAAACTACCAAAATTTTTCTTTATTTTTTTGCTCATTGTCCTTCCAATGCTGCCAAATTGTTTGGCAACACTTTGAAGTTGCCTAGTGGCTTTACTTCTTTGGAGAGATAGTAAGCCCCCAGGGCTAGAGCTACCTGACCCTCTATCCATATTGCTATCGTCAGAATCAAAACTTCCCGCTGCGGAACTTCTATCAATATCAGTACTGTTGGACATAGAATCTTCTTCTTGAAAATCTACAGAGTCTTGTTTAGAAACTCCAAACACTGGCAATTCGATTATGTCCAGGTATTCGTGAAGCAGACCAAGTTTGTCTTTATCAGTAAGAGTCAATTTAGAGATTATGATGGGGTCATTTTCATCTTGACCCCATCTGACCTCTACTCCTGGATCAACAGCAAATTGAATTGGCAAAAGTTTATGCTCTGGGTCTATCAAAGGAATAGCAGCTGAAAAATAAAAGACAGTAATTAATTTTAATTAAAGTCTAGTGCCAATTAAAAAAATAGTCATAATATTTTAATAGTTTGATTAAGAAAATAATTTTAAAAAAATTGACTACTGTAAGGTTGGCATAATTTTAATTTTATCACAGAGGGGAAAAGTTTAACTTTTATATAAAAAAAGGTGGCAACAGATTTGATACATAAATAGAACGCTTTGCTTTAAATTATTTGTCACTGTTTATTATTTTTTATTAAAATACTTTCTTAAAATATCTTTTTGTTTCTTTATTATATTTCATTTAAACTAAATTCCTTGTCTTTCAACCTTACCTTATACAACCGTAAATAAAAATTAAACTCCATGTCATAGTTCCATTTTAACTACAAAACAAAGAGATCATGGAACTAAAATAGAATAATAAACTAACACAGAGGTCTACAAGAGTTCAAATTTTCTAGGAGTGAGGATCAATTTTTGGATGTAATGGAATGAAAGGTAGTGAAATGTTTTGCATTAATGAAATTATTTAAATTTAATTTAATCACTAAATTTAATTTAATTACTAAATTTAATAATTACTGAAAGACAATTATAATTTTTTGTTTAATATCATCTAAAAATAAATAAAGTGGTTAGAAGTATGATATACAATTTTAATGCAAACACAATTATAAAAGCTAAAATCATCCAACATGATATTAATTAAAATATTAGGCCTTTTAGATTTTAAAAATAAATATCAAAACTGAACATGTTTTCAGGGCTCAAAATCTTTAACGGAAGGTACATTTCAAGATTATGATCAACATCTGATCACACAAATTCTTCCTGAGAATACTGGCATGCAACTTGTATTTAACTAGGTTCACTGTGTTTGAGCCTCTTTAACCACTTTTTTTTCCTTAATGAACCAAATCCGTCATAATTATTTTATTGTTTTTTCTCTCTCATTGCCCTTATATTTGTAATTTATTTAATTATAATTAAATGTACAATTACAAATATTATATTTAATTATTAAAAATATATCTGGATGGAATTGAATGGAATAATGGATGGCATAAGACTTATTCTTTCGAACAATTAAGGGTTAACAATATTATGCTTTGGTGTATTATTCAGATATATATATATATATATATATATTGCTATTATACAGATTTTCCTCAAAAGTATTTTTTTTTTAAAAAAAAAGGTAGATTTCAATCAAATATTGATAACAAGCCACAGGTTTTTAGGATTTGTCGACCCTAGTACTAACATAAATTTTTTTAAAACTAGATGTGTACAAAATTTAAATAAAAACTGTGTTTGAAAATCCAATGTGTGTTTAGTCACAAAGGTATACCTTCATTAGTATAAGAGTATTGGCATGATCTGTAGGTTTTTATATTACTGATGAAAGTGTAACATTGAAACGTGTATAAGTATTTAATAAATTTTTATAATTTGTGTTTTCAAAACGTTTTTAATGAAATTCAATTAAGAATTAAGCTTGTAATTTTATAGATGCATATCACTTTACATAAAAAAAAAATTAAATTTGTAATAGTTCTTGATTATAAAATAAAATCTGATAAGTTACAAATCAATATTTTAAAATTAGAAAATTTGTATTTTACCAGGAGGATGTGGAGTTTTATCAGCATATGCTTCTTTCTCCATAGCAACAAGAGCAGAAAAATGAGCAGCATCGTAAGTTAAACATAATGGAGAGCGAAGGCAATCAGCTGGAGGGCATTCTAAAGGCAAATAAATACCACCAAATGGAATGGGAGCAAATGGTTCACCAGTCACATCTTTTAGTACTGTGTCTGCGATAACTATTATTGGCCGGCGCAGCACATGAGATAGGGCTAGGACATGGAATTCTTCTAAGCTTTCATAAACATCAGGTTGAATGTCATCTTCTGGTACAGCTAACAGTGGCCTATTAAAAAAGTTCAATTATATTAGATATATCTATATCAGGATAGTTACAACAATGCTAAATCTAGAATAAAATATTTTATTTACATGCATGTCGTAAAAGGTGTGCTTAAAAAGTTTACAAGGTGCGTAGCCAAATCTTTCAACAAAAAAAAAGCACCTTTTAAGTACTTTTTAAGCATTAAAAAATATTTTTAAGCACTATATACATTAACAAAAGGCAGAAAAATTTTCAAAGACTTTACATGATCATGATAAAATAACTAGTTTTTGACAAAGAATTCTTTTCTTGATTATATTAGCAATTATAAAAAGATCAAGAGATTTTTCAGTTCGATATCAGAGGGTGGAAAATGAAGTCAGGCGCACATGCGGACTGGCAAGTAATTCATCAAACACGTAAAATGATTGGTGCTTTCATATGCTACGGATAGACGGTATTCCGAAATGGATGGTGGTTGAAAGAATTGTGAAAACATTGAATAAAACAATGTGAAAAGCACGCTTTTGCATAACACGTGGCGAATATCAACATGCTAAAGAAAAAAATCTCATTTTGGAAATAAAAAAATTAAGCACTTTTTGGAGAAAAAAAAACCAATGAAAAAAGCACCTTTTTAAAAAAAACGGCAAGGTTTAGCAAACAGATGGGTACTTAAAAAATGCAGCAACATGCATGTACTGGGGAAGAGGGCATGTAGTAAAGCAGTTTTTTTTTTTACCAGATTTACTTGAAAGACCAGTAAAATATTTCAGTATATTAAGTTTACTATAATGGATAGTATGGATAATAAGTTTAGTACTACCCTAATCATAATTTTTACAAATCAAAAACTGTGGCACTAAAACAATTTTTAGACCAATTTGTTTCTGAACATTCTCATACTGTTTATAATGAAAAATATTTGAGCCCAAACTTATTTAAATTATAAATAAAATTTGTACTAATTCCAATACAAATATTGATTTTGCAATACAAAAAACAAAATAGCTAAACCAGGTTATGTAACCATGTGTAGGTAAGGAAACAATATACAACTAAAACTGAAATAAATAAAAAAGGAAATCTTTTTGCAAATAAGAAGAGAAAAAAGGTTTATATAGTATTCTATGTTGAATACATAATGAATTTAAGATAAAAGCGTTTGCAGACCAGCATCTATTTGGGAATTGGTGATTCAGAAGCAATGTAGAAACAATGTAGTATGCTAGAAACCAATGCAGATTAATCTTCTATAAGCAGTAGATTGATATATGAGCAAAAACTCATATCAAATTGAAATGCAGGGATGCTTCAACATTGGTGGCTTGTTTAAAATTGGGTTTAGTGGTTTCAGAAATGCACAGGTGCAGGACACAGATTTTATTATCAGAATATATATTTATGATTGGTTAGAACATTTTAGGGAGGAAAAACACCCTCACAGAACTTGAAACACAATTATGTAGACTATGGGCAGTGCAGGAGCCCATTTTTCGATGGGGACAAAATTAAATTCCACAGTCACAATAATTCTCTACATTTCACTCGTGAGAAGAAGAAAAAAAAACTTTCTGAAAAGGGCTAAATACCTGAAAAAATATAAATTATTTCCTCTCTTTATTGTTTCTAACTGTAAGGAATTTACTTAGATGATAGTTTACAAAAATTTTCTTTATTTATCTGAAATTGAAATAATACGGAGGATAGAGATCTAATTAACAACAGGTGTGAAGACCAACAATATTTAGCAGGTGCAAATTCATATTTTGATTACATAATTCAATCAAAAAATTTTAATTATAAATATAAAAAAATAGTTACACAAAAAAAAACTACTAAAACATAAAGCACATTATTACATGCTTAGTGCATGTAATTTTTTTAACAGGATATGGCAAAAAATTTTAGTTTGGCAAAAGGTAAAGCAAGACATAATAATCTAACTATAACTTATTCTTAAAATTATTTTCAACATTTTAACTAACATTTCCTATTCATGATTAATGAAGATAATGGCAATCATCTTCATGAAGATTATGGTAAAAATTTATCTTCACTTTTTTTTCACAATAATTTTGCAACATAACAAAAGTAAAATATTTTTGTTCATTTACCCTTTATTAGAACTGTCAGAAAAGCTTCTTTTTTGGCATGGATGAAGGCGGGGTTCAGTGGAAGCCATTTTCAGTAAAGTCAGCCACTCCTTATTCCACTCTTCTTCACAATAAACTAATCCAGCCTAATTTTTGAGAAGAAAAAATTACATAATTTGTTTAAAAAATTTAAAATTTATTTAGACTTATGCAAAAAAAGGATAATTTGTGATACATCTTTGATGAAATAATAAATTCCATCAGAGGTGCAATTGACTAAACAGATAATTCCAATTAAACTCAGTGGCACGATAGGCCCTAAACAGATAATTCAGTTATGATTATTTGATGCCATGGACTAATCTAGGATACTAATTTTAATGCTTAGATCTGTAAAAACTTTTAGCAAAATCTAAGTTTTATGGAAAAAGTACAAATTTTGTTAAAAATATAATTTGGAAATAAATTAAAACATTAAAAAAAAAGTTGATTTTAAGTTTAAAAAAAGACCAAATACATAATAATTTTAAGGGTTTATTTCATAATAATAGTATTTCATAATAATTTTTAAGTTGTGCAAAATTTGAAGATGTTAAAAAATTGATAAAATACAAACAACTTCATAATGAAAATATGTAATATTACAGAAATAATTAATTAATACAATGACAATTTTTTATTAATTTATTATATGTGTGAATATAGTTGTTCATAAAGTTGTGCTTTTAAAAGCACAACTTTATGAGCATTTTTGATTTTTTTTTAAAAATTGAATTTTTGTGATAGAGAAATTTTTTTATAAAGAAAATAATTTTTGTAAAGAGGCCCAATTTGCTAGTACTAACATTTTTGTAATAAACATGTCAGGACTTTGATTCCACTCCCATGCATCTGAATGACCCCTGACCTGAGGGCCATAGGGTGAGGGACACAGGAAGTATCCTTCCCCTATAGTGGGGGAGGAAAGAGTTAAAAGAGAAGAACTTTATCCTGTGAAAGGAGATTCATTATGGACATGATGCTGATAAAGCGAGGATGAAGGAGAATGGAACAATGGGGTCCCAGAAATAAAAGCTGGATCGATTTAACAAATGCATAGTTTGTCTAAAGTAGAACTCCCCTAGCCATTCATCTGGACCAGTGGATGACTATGGTAACAAAGCATCATCTTTACCTTCAGTCTATTGTGTTAACCCTAGAGTGAAGAGCCTCAGCCTCAGACTTTGTGGTGGGGGGAGTTCTTACCGTAGACAAACTACATATTTTTAATATTATTTAGCATAACAATCCAGAATCTAAAATAAATATACAATGATATAAGTCCTCATCATCTTTCTGAGTGTTTCAAAAGACGAATCGCAAATAAAACCGTTCCACGAAGAATGGTTGACACAAAACATTAATAAACAGAAGTAAAATTATATGCATTTGTAGTAATACATTAGTTCATGAGAGCAATTTACTCACAGACACTATACTTCATTAAAATTTGGAGGAAAAAAAAAGACTATTATCTTAATGAAGGGAAGGGGCATATAAGTGTAAAATTTAAAACAATATCTTGAAACAAAGCTACTAATAGCATAATTAAATTCAACAATTAGTACATTAAACATAAAATAAGTGTAGGTTATTACTTTAAGATAATTTATAGGAGAGGTGCACACCCATTTTAAGTGAAGGGACAATTGCAAAGCATACTTATACAGACATGACAACATCTATAGTGATTTTTATCTAAACATTAGTGCTCTAGGCATTAAATCCTTTTTATCAGTCAACTTAGTAAAACATAGTTGCAGAAAATTAAATAATTTTTAAAATTAGAACTCAAACTAACTGATACTTTTTAAAAAAATATATTCCCTTTTTATCAATATAAAAAATGGGAGGATGCTACATGACAAAATAAAAAAATTTTAAACTAAATTCTAATCATAAAAAATTACCAACGCTCATAAAAAAGTTCAATAATTTATTGAGTAATCTAAATTCAAATAAAAAATTTTAATTCAAGAAAATTTATATGGTTTAAAATGGAATTAAAACAAAACCATTATAGTAACCCGAAAAAGCGATTGAAAAATCATAGAATCAATGAACCTACAATGGAATCAACACAAATTGAGTACATCAAAAAGTGATGACGCTAATGTGCAATTCACAACTTTCGATTTTTTTCGTTGTGTTCAGATGCTTTCATGACCACGCACCAACAGCTGGGCATCAAACGAGAATATAACATAAAACTAGTTTAAACATACACATAGATAGGATGAACTCATAGAAATAAAGAGACACCAAAGAGAATTTGAAAATAGATCACACAACAATTATTCTTCTGCTTCTAACATACAAAAATTAAAAAGAATAATTATTAATATTTACTTCTTTATTTTGCAATGAAACCTGCCATCTCCATCGCCTGTAGAAAGCCTCAGTGAATGTGCTATTTGACAGGAGGCTATGTAATGCTTTTCTTAATGTTAGTAATCGATCATGAAATCCCCACATACCTAACGGAAAAAAATTTAAAAACAAACATTTGAGTAAAAATGTCTTTAAAAGTAAAACAACTATTTTTACAATTTGATGAAGTTATTTTCATATATCTATCATTTTAACGAACATAAATAGAAAGTTTTATAAATTTGCAATAAAGGGGGATACTACTGGGATAATACAGGGTTCCTAACCTGCAATAGTAATGTTTTTCTAGTCATCATGGAACTATTTCTTTGCAGTAAAAGAGTCAGAAAGTTTTCTTTGTATTTTACTTCCTAACAATTAAATGGAGAAAAAAAATTGTGTTCATAAAAGAAAAAAAAAAATGGCTTTATCAGCATTTGCAAATAAAGGGTGGTTTATAGAAGGAAAAAAGCTATTTAAAAAAATATATAGAAATCAGACTGTCTACTGTTATTAAAAGATCCATAGAAATTATGGATAATAGTGCCTGCTATTTAAATGTGTTATTCCGAATGATGCTTGGACAAGATAAGTTCACCAGTCATGCAATTAGGGAAAAAGTCAGAAAGGTGTGCCTTTTGTTCTCCAAGAGAGCCCTGCAAGGGTGAAAATATGTCTCAGCTCGGAGCCCCACAAATAGATGGCAGCACCACACCACCCATTCGTGAGGCCACTTCCTCAATTTAGGCATAAATCTGAAGGGGTAGGAAATTTCCACCAGATCACTGTATCCATGGTGCTTCTCAGCGATTACAATTTCACTAATTTTATGAGCATGCATATTACATATATATAGCTTGTACATATTACACGTGTGCTATTTATGTATAAATTGCCTAGTTAACTTATTCAATAGTAGGATAACATATTAAAGAATCAAATGTAACGTAATGTAAAATAAAAATTTAAAGTAATAAAAAAATTGTTAGAGCTTTAAATACATTTATTCAAAAGATTAATCAGTAAGTAAAAATTAATGCTTAATTAAACAAATTATTAATGATATTTTAAAGACATTTATCTCTAAAATTTAACCAATCTATTACAGTCTTAACTAGATGACTTGTTTCAAAAACACTAAAATTAAAAAAAAAACATGCAAAATGTTTATAATTGAAGAGCATAGAGGTTGAATGTTCCAAGTGACATTTGTACGTAAAAATTTAGATTTCTATGGAAAACTTCAGTTGTCTTTAACAAAACAACATTCATTTATTTTGGGAAGTACTTGAATTTTCCATAACTCAGTGCACAAAGGTACTAAGTGGTAATCTTGGGTGTTTTTGGAATGAAGAGGTGGAAGGGGTCAACAAGTAACCAAATAATCTCAGATTCAATTTAAATAACCATCAGTGATTTACAGATTTTGACAATGGGAAGCTTATAAAAAGAAATAATGTTTATTAGGACCTTTATCCACTTCAAACAACAGTAAAACAATTTAGCTAAAATGTTGAAAGAAAATATTTTCCAGCATAATATTAATTTCAACTCAATTACAATTACCTTAACTTTAAGAAACAAGTTCTAATTAATTTATTTTCTATGGATTAGTTGAATTCATTTTTCTTAAATTTGAGTTAAGTTTACTTGCACGACTTTAATAATCGATTGATTCTTATTTTGATTTTTCTTACTTTTAGAAATACTATTTGCTCGCATATATATACACATACATCAATTGTGTAAAAATATTACATTACCTAGTGATGCAGCATGTAATAAACAATTTCCATCTCCAGTAGTAGCTAAGGGCCATAATCTTTGACAAGTTCCTTTTTCAGCCCACCAATTCAAACGTCCTAAATATGCAAAAAAAATTTAAAACAATTTTAAATATATCTAAGAATTAATATGTTTTTTTAAGTTATTAAACATAAAATAATTTTATATTAAAATTAATTTTATAATATAAAACTTTAAAAGTGGTTAAGGCATTGAGCTGCTAAAAAGAATCATTGAAGTTTGATCCCCGTTGATGGCTTCAAGCCCACCCAGTTTCAGACTGATGGGCACCAGTACAAAGTAAAAACATCACAGCTAGACTAACAGGCTATTAGCAACATTCTATGGTTTGAAGGGATTAGAAAACTGTGGATATTTAAAATATCATACATCAAACAAGTTTTAAAAGAAACAAACTTTTGCTAAGAAATTAAACAAATCGACATTTTTTATGCATACAACACAAAAATGATTCTATCAAAATTCTCATAAACATGCTGAATGAAAAAAAAATTATAATTTCCTCATGTTGGATAAAATCATACATAAACTGGATTCCAAAGTATATCTGTCCAATATATGATTCTATCCAAGGATGGACAGATGATACACATAAAATGGATTTTATAAGACACTAAAATTTCGAAGATATAAAACTGCATATAGTTTCACTCAAATAAGGTTAATATGATTCTATCCTCCCAAAAAAAGTTTTGTGCAAGAAAATTTGAATAACAAAAATAAACTAAACTGGAAAAACTAAAAACACAGTAAACTGGCTAAAAATATTACAATATTTAGACTTAAACTGTAATTTAAAATATTTTGATCTCCTAACCTGCATTTTCCAGTGAGACTAAAGTAGATGTTTCTATCAAGTCCTTTTCAAGAAATTCTCTAAAATCAGTAGGATATATAGAAAGATCAGGCAGTGAAAATGTATATACAGGTGTCTCAAGTCCAGACATAACTTGATGTTTTTCAGAGGTAGTGGCAACAAATTCTTTAGCAAGCTTGCTTCGGGCTCTAGACACCAGATTAACATTTTCAGTAGCTCTGGATATTCCTCTGGACAGTCTTTTATCTAAAAAAACATGTTAAACAGATTAGTTGCTGTATATATTTTTTTAACAAACATTAAAAAAAAGTTTCCGCTTAAGAGTTAAACTATAGAGTATATGTAAATGAACTTGCAGATGGAGTTATCTAAACACAGACACTAGACGTGGGATTAGGGTGACATTCCTTTATTTCGGAAGTATGTGTGGAAAATCGTAAAATATGTTTCCTCTCCCTTCTTTTTCCCCGAAGGATAAAGACCAGGTGTTCAAAGAAAAGAAAAGGGGCTCCAAGTTTAATTCCAGTTACAATTTGACTCAGTCAATGCAAATCAATATGACAGGTGATTCATATCATAACAATGCATGTCTCCATATCAAGAGTGTTGCAACATGCATACCCTTTAGTGGAAGAACCCCTTAAAGGTACTCTAAGTTCAGTTCTGGTTACAATTCGACTCAAGATGCAAGTCAATATTGGGGTGATTTATAAAAATAATGCATGCCATCATATCAAGAATGTTGCAACATGCATATACTAAGAAGACACTTTCCTTTTTACAGTTCTGATCTCTCTATTTACAATTTTTAAATCTTCAGCTCCTTAAAAAAGTGCATGAGTGTGTTTTGCTTTCTTCGCCTATGCTAAAGCATAGCTTCAATGATTCTATTTTACATTAAAGTTTATGGATAGTTAAAACAGTGCAAAATAACAAGTTATAATTTTGCACTTAATTTCTTAATCTGTACTAAATGTGGTAGACTACTATATTTACATCTAACAATAATTTAATTTTCAATTAAATAAAAATTACAAATGATAAGTTTTTTCTCGTTTGAGTAAAATATTCATTTTATATTAAAAAAAATTCTGACGTGTGGAAGCATAAAAAGGCATCAAGATGGACTTTATATCACAATTTAAAGATTGAAATACCAAATATGAACCAGTATTACAAAATAAGCATGCATATTATTTTTAATTTTAAGAATGATTAACAATCTAAAACTGTTGTAAACAAGCAACAATACATTTATTATGGGATTGTTGAATGAAAACGAACTACGAGTACATAAATGAATAGATTATGATAATAAAAATGCTAATTAAATGCATCTGTTTTCTAATGCAAAGTACAGGTACTATTTTAAAAAGACCAACTGTTAGCAAATGCTAACTTATTAAACAGAAATTCTTACTTCCAATTTCATCGATATCAGGCGAAGATTCTTTTGGGTGAGATGATTTTGAAGACATGTAACTATCAACTTCCAGGTGCTGTTTGTGGCCTCCAGAAAGTTTAATTGGCAAAGCAGATTCTTTTGGCTTGGGTCCTGGAGTTATGCCTTTCAGCATATAAAATGCTGAGAGAGATGATTGTAAATCCCATTCATGTCCTAAAATTGTATTTTCAAAAATTATAGTTTAAGAAGAAATGAAAAGCAGGAATGTGTACAAAAATAACCACTAAAATAGAAAATAGTAGAAAGTCCCACACGCGTAATTGCCGGAACTTCGGCAAGTCAGGATAATGGACTTTTTCGGATAATAAGTTTTTAAAGTAAACAAAGATCAAAACATACATTATTCAATAAAAAAAATATATAAAAATTAACATTAATTTTTATACAATAAGGCTTTGTTATTAGTAAAATTGCAGTTAAATGTCTAAACAGTATTTAGCATAATAATATGAATTTAACAAATAAAATACAAAAAATTTCGTTTATGTAAAATTTTTAAGGATTAAAAAATATAAAAAGTTTCACACACTGTTTGTTTAAAAATTAGATAATAGAATCAGGTATTTATGGTTTTCTCATGAAGGTTTAATCAGATTTATTTTAAATGTGTAGAAATTACATAAATTTTCAAATAAGTTTGAACTAGGCTTAGTACTATGAAAATGTTCTTTAAAGAAAAATTTTGAAAATACGATAAAAAGTTATTGCTAGTCATCATAATCGATACTTGTTTCTGGTGTAAGAATACTTGTTTTTGGTATAACGATACTTGTTTTTGCTGTAAGGATAACTATTAGCTGTTTTAAATAATAAGTATTTATAAATCAATATATACATAAAATTACAAGTGATCAATCATGTTCTTGAATTATTTACATTGTTTATGGGTAGTGTTTTTGGCAGCTGTTTGTCATTTCTGAACTATTTCCTTGTGATTTTTTTCAATTCCGATGTAATTAATACGATGTCATGGCTAACGAATTTCATATTTTAGTAATCACATTTTTACCCACTTGATTTGCAACAATTCTATGGTAAGTCCACTTTAATTTTCAATCGTTTCTTCGGCAATTATTACAATTACTTATTGTTTTTTCATTTATTTTGAAATCGCTTTTATAATCCCGATATGTTTGATAAATTATTATTACGGCACGCAACATTTTCCAAATTCGAGAATTATGCTCATTTTAAAACTAATTTATAGAATGTGTAAATTTAACTGAGGAATTACTTTTAATTTAACCTTTAAAAAGGATTTTTTTAATGATAAAATTGAAAACTTTGTATATTATGGGTGTTTTAAAAGTCATGCAAATATTTGTGAGCAATGCCCTTTTTTGTGATAGGTACCTTTTTTCAGGGTGAAATAGTGCCCTTTTCAGCTTTTAGCTCTTTTAAGTTCTAGAATAACACTGTCTGTAATATAAACCGAATAGTTATAATATAGGTCTTAAAGTATTAAGAGTACCATCAGAAAAACCACTTAACAGTTTCAATAATTTTGGCTACATTTTTTATATCTGATATATAATATAAAAACATAATTATAGTAGTATATAATGCAAGCATTATGCATGATTTAGAATCTAATAAAATGTCTGCAATGTCAAAACAGGAACTTGCTCAGAGTTTTTGACAAATTTCGACTGTTAATGACACTATTCAACAAGTTTTTGTCATGTCCTGTCAAACACCAGCTTTTGATGTCAAAATCCCAACCCTGTTTTCAAGCATTATTTATGCTTACTTTGAAAACTTCTACTATTTTTTTTTAACTTAATGAGTATAATAAAAATTAATTCAGTTTATTTAAACTAGTATGAATAGCATTTTATTTTTAAAATTAGAATCGGTAAGAGATAAAAATTCTTGAATTTTAAGGTATAAAATATTAAAGATTACCTTCTAAGAGATCTCTTGCTAATCCAGGATCAGCTGATGTGCGTGCAATGAATTCTGATAAGATAGTGTCCATGATCAAACCAGTTGATGAGTTTCATCTGATAACCATTGTTGTATACACTAGTAGGAAATTAAGAACATCCTTCTACAAATTAAAACTACATTGTTCCTTCGTGGTCCTCACATCTATAATAGAGATAAGAAATATTCAACAATCAAACACATTATGAAATATAAATGTAGTTAATCCTATAAATTATCAATTTATCACCAAAACAGTGAATTTTTAGGTGCCGGGACCAATTTTTAATAGCCAGCCTGAATAGAAGGAAGCATAACAATTGTTGGCCATAATATTAAATTTTATAAAAATTTTGGGCACGATGGCAAGCAAGCTGCCTAGATTTGTTGATAGTTTAATTATCAGGAAGTGCTCAAAATGTATAATAATGCAACCAAAAAATATTATTGAAAAAGTGATTGCAAATAAGTATTGAGAATAACTCAGGTAGAACCCTAAAACAGTAAAATGTTTAAAAAAATTTACTATATTTATCACATTCTGAATATTACGTTTATCATAATGATAGGGATATTTCTGTATCATTATATGATGTACAAATTACAATCGCCAAGTGGATTTTAAACTAATAAAAAAATTTTGAAAAAACATGTAGACGTTTGCTCGGGAGTAGCTCCCAGTTAACTCCTTCAAGTTAGTCCCCTCCCTTGATTTTTTTTTTTTTTTTCAGTTTCTCACGGGCCACTACCCAGAAGATGCAAAGACTTGGAAATTATTTTACCCACAGATCAGGATATGTTAATTTTTCCATAATAATATGCAACATAAAACAAATTAAGATTAATATTTTGAACTTATTGCTCTGCTACATTGTATTCATATTAAAAAATAGAATTTAACTCACTCTCTGTTAAAGGCATTATTTATTATTTCACTTTATTAATTTGGAATTTTTGTGTCGCAAACAGTTAAACAGTTCAGCTTTATAGAATTTTTTTTATATAAAAATAAAATACTTTATACAAATAATTTGATTTCCTTCACATTAAATATTTTATAAATTTTAAATTATGTTGCTTAATAATCAATAAACACTTCAAATTAAAGATTTCGACAGGCTCATGCAGAACAATTTAGATTATAGAATTCAAAATCAGACATAGTAAATACTGTTTCCATAAACATAGTGAACTTAAACATAAACACCTGATAGTAATTAGATTTTGCCAAATTTTTGTACAACACAACATAGATTTTTGCAATATTAATAAAAAATAGACAAATTTTGAAGATCATTTCATACCTGTCCAGTTCACTAACATACCAGCATTAGAAAATGCCAGTATTAATGACAATTGAATAACAATATTTATGATTTAGCTAATATTCATTCCTCAATAGCACACTCAATTTTTTAAGATCTAACTCAAAAATTTTATATTAATCAAAATTAAATTGTTTCAAATAAACAAACTTAGCATTTTTTTTAAAATCTTAGTTGTTTTTAGATATAATGGTCTTTTTTGGTAAGCCAAGTGCTTAACTGTTTTTATTTTTATGAAAGACATTTATTACAGGGTACCCTTCTAATTTTGGCAATTTATTACATTCTTACAGAAGAAAGGAAAAATGAGTTAAAAAGATAATAATAAGAAATCACGATAAAAATAATAGAAAAATGGAAGGTTTGCTATCCAGTAGAAGCTCTAAAATTCAGCGCCGAATCCAAGAGGTACTATAATTTTATAAACACAAAACAAACCCAAAAAAATAAAGAAAGAAAAATAGTTGAATCTTCTAGTGGTTAGCTAAGCGAAGGGTACCTAAATTATTTATTCTCAAAAGTGAAATTTATTGTTAATTATTTTAAAAAACATAATTTGTGATAAATAATCACCGGAAAAGTTACTATATGAAGCACAACACCCATCAGGTATAACCAGTAAATTTTATGTAGATTAAAGTGATTTATAACTAACGGATGATCAATTTAAAGAATAATTCTGTTAAGCTGAAAATTAAGGCTTATAATATTTCGATAAAAGTACACAGATAACTACTTCACATAAAGGTATTTTAAATAATTTAATGCAGCATTTAAATATTTTTGAATCAGCGGCTCATAGAAAGAGGTCAAATTTTACTAAAAATAAAGATCTTACACTTGAATAGTACCTTGATTATGACATATTGTGATGTTATGGAATTGTTTTTTTAAGATATGTTTTAATATCACATTTTAAAAGAGAAAAATAAAGCCGATATTTGACAGTATTGAAATAAAAAAATTTCTGTACCCATAAATACACAACAAATCTAAAACGATTGCCAGATTCACATTAATGGATGTTTCTTCGAGGGAAGTTGNCAGTTGGCGATAGATTTCGTTTGGCAATCACCCATTTCAGCTGATCGCCAAAGTTTAGGGTTATAAGAGGGCGGTCAGCCAAGACAGTGCGTTCTTCGAGAGGAAAAATTCAATGCAGTAGAACCAAATAATGGGTGTTTATCAAATATTTCTTGATGTTTTTATTCATTTTTTCAACAAAAAAAATTATTCTTAATTGAATAAAAATGCAAATAGCGCAATATTTCATCACTGTCGGTTTAAAAAAATAACATTAGAGACTAAAGCCAGCATAAGATTATTCACGGCTTTATTTACATAATCATGCTCATCTTCGACTTTCTTAATTTTTCTCCTCTCTATTCATAGGAACAAGAATATTGTCATTTTATCTTTTTTTGTATTTATACTTGGCAAATATATGTTTATGTTTGGTAGTCAAATTTAACATAGTCAACAGTTTTTATCTCAAATATTTGTATGCTTCAATAATAAGAATAAATTCTCGGAAAGTTTGTATTTTAATTTGGCGGAAATCATTAATCATGAATGCTTAAATTTCCTTATGACCATGGATAGTGTTATTAAATTCAATAACAAGTCTGGTGCAAGAGATAAATTATTTCGGTTTGTTACAAATTTGTCAAAATGTTTTTTCATTTAATTCTTTATTTATGTATAAATGTCTATTTTTAATTTTATGTTTCTAGTTTTAGAAGTATAAAATGAAAGACATGCAAAAGAAATGTGAATTAAATTGTTTGCTTGCATATCGTGATGCATTACATGTTTTATTTAAAATTATTATTTAGTATCATATGCCTGAGCATTCATTTATCAATATCAAAGTTATAAAGTTGTTATCAAGAGAATCTGCTTATATTCATTGAATATTGGTTATTTTAACCTGAAACGTCTTTAGTCCACGTCCAAACAATTATAAGTTTTTTTAATAGTAAATAAAATTCTTTAAAGGTAATGAAGGGAGAATAATTTGTGTGTTGATATTTCTGAATCATGATCTGTTTTTCCAACTATAATCACCAAAGCACCAAATGGATTTAAAACTTTAAATTCTTATTAAGAAAAACATGTAGAGGTTTCCCAGCAGTGGTTATGAGCTTTTTCCTTCCTGTTGGTCATCTTCTGTGATGCGCTTTTTTAATTTGTTAGATTTCGCAATTATTCTACCACAGATCACGATACGGAAATCTTTCGATTTGTGCAAATACTTGCAATCATTTGATCCCTTCTGCCATTGTTTATGCGAGGTGGACAAACACCCTCACATGCTTCGCCTCCCTGTGTCAGAATTGCAGCGACACTGCGACATTGTCGCAGAACGTTACCAAGTTTTTGCAGAAAGATTTTTCACTTGTGAAGGGAAAAATTTTGGTTTTCCTTTCTGCATAATTTTTCAAAAAATGTTTTTTTTTCTTTCTGCAGAATTGTTTTTTAAAGATGTCTTTCATGCGCATCAGAGAGGAAAAAAATAATCATGATTTTTCTATTCTCATTTGAGGTTTTTTTTTAAAAAATCGGTAATGACTGGCTTCAGCTAGAATTTCAAATTACTGTAAAAAAATTTAAAAATATTCAGAAATCACAAAAGTTTAAGCGATAGTTCGCTCTAGAAATGATGTTCTTTCTTTCATTTTTATCTTTGAAGAACACCATATTTTACACTTATTTGAGTATCTCTTGTTTAAAGAGTTCTGTTCGTGTGATTCGTGATTTTTATTTTAGGAGTTATTGCACTGATTTTACGTTTTTTAATTTATATATGAATTTTAATTTATTTACCAATTTTAATTGGGTAATTATTTGCGAAATTCGAAAGAGGAAATAATTAGTGTATTTTTCTGCCTACAAAATGCAAGAATATCACCTATAGTACTAGAATTAAAATAATATTACTTTTACAATTGAAAGTTTTTATGCATTTCTATTCTATACTTTATTTTGTATACACTACATTTGTGTTAACTTTAAATTAATAAATTTTATAATTAAAAGTTTCCTAAAGAAAAATATTAGCGCTAGGTGAGTTTGTCGCAGAAAGCCGAAAAAATTCTGCCACAGGGATTCGCCTGATGGCTTAAATATTCTAACCCATGATCTGTTTACCAAGAAGAATATTTGTGTGTTCGATGTACCTATTTGGTATAAACCAGCCATTGCTGGGATTGATACATGGGTTACCTTATTGAGATGCGAGTGATTAATCTCTTCAGTCATCGTGGTTTGCTTTAAGGTGTATTTTATAACCGGCATTGAACAGTTGGCAAAATTTTGAGTACGCGATTATCAGTATAAAGACTTTATTTATAACTATTAGTTTATGTTATGATAACATAATTGGAATGCACATTGTACAAATGCTATAATTATTTTTTTTTTTATCTCTAATACGTATTGTTATTTGAACACACCCTTTTCTTACTTTTTGGTCAAAATATGAACTTATTTTAAATCCTCTGAGCTATGATTGTTTGCTAGTTGAACAGCCAACCGAATTTACTGTTTATGATTATCAGTATATAATGATTTTAATTTCGACTGTTAATTTCAGTTACAACTTTAATATACAGGGTGTTTATGAAGTCCCGGACCCATTTTGATGTTTAATAACTAATAAAATAATAAAGATAGATCAAAATTAATAACAAAAATGGTTAGATAGACTCAAAAAGTTTCATGACCCTTGTCAATGAACTTCTACGTGTGCCCCCTTCGTCGCACGGAGAATATCAAGTCGATAGTCAATTTCACGCCAGGTAGCGGCAAGCATGTCGGCATCCACAGAGGCTATTGCGGTTGTAATTCTGGCTTTTAGGTCATCAATGTTCGACACGATCCTCCTGTAAACATTGTCCTTTATAAATTCCCAAAGAAAAAAGTCCAGCGGCCTAAAATCAGGTGATCTGGGTCGCGAAGGAATTGGACCTCCTCGCTTAATCCATCTTCCTGGAAAATGGTCATTCAAAGAACTACGAACGATGGTAACCCAATGAAGTGGTGCACCATCTTGTTGCAAAAAAACATGTTGCTAAAGCTCTTCTAGTTGTGGAAATACGAAGTTTTCCAGCGTGTCTAAGTATACGACTGAGGAGGCCGTCTTTTCTGTAAAAAAGAAAGGCCCAATGACTCGGTCGTGCATTAGTCCACACCACACATTAACCTTTGGGGAATCCCTTTATGTCTCACGGTATTCATAGGGGTTTTCAGATCCCCATATGCGCACATTATGGCGATTAACAATGCCAGAAACATGAAAGGATGCCGACATGCTTGGCGCTACCTGGCGTGAAATTGATAAAAATCGACTTGATATTCTCCGTGCGACGCAGGAGGCACACGTGGAAGTTCATTGACAAGGGTCATGAAACTTTTTGAGTCTATCTAACCATTTATGTTATTAATTTTAATCTATCTTTATTATTTTATGAGTTATTAAACATCAAAATAGGTCCGGGACTTTATAAACCCCCTGTATTTAACAAGATTTAAAATGTACAAATGTTGTAATTAAATTTATTTCAGCTAAAATTTGGTTTTTATCTTCTACATACATGCCCTTTTCTCACCTTAAAGTCAAAATGTTTTTTTTATTTTTTTATATTTAAGTTTTTCTCACAGGGTCCCATATAACATTATTTCATCAACATTGTTCAGTCAGAACAATTTTATTTTGGTCTTTACTGTTTACATTAGTTATAGCCATTCTGTATTAAAGTTTAAGCTTGAAAACTGCAGTTATATATAATTCTTCACATTCCTGAGTAAAAGATATTTGTAGTTTCTAAAAGTTTCAAAAGTCTTGAATTTTAAGATATGACTCATGGGATCAAATTTTATAATATTTTCAGTCTTATGTGGGAAAAAAAAAATTCCTTAAAAATATTGACTGTACCAAATTGAAATAATTTTATTTTTATTCTAATTCCATATTTCTTTTAATAGTCTTGCACAATATAGTTGCAAATTGATATGGTCCACTTTAGAAAACAAGAAACTGAACAAAGAACTCATAAAGAAACTGAAAGATTTAGAGACTGTCTTGAGTACTGGAAGGAAATGTAAGTTTTATTTGTTTTTTAAAATTATATTTGTTATGCATCTATAGGTCTTTAAATAATTTTTATATTTCACATTAAAAAAATACTAATTTTTTTAAAGATAGGTTAGTTTTACATATTAAGTTACTTCTTTTTTATTTTTCAAATTAATTTTAAACACTCATTCCTGTAAAAACACTGCTAATTATTACCACTTGCTCTCTTAAAATGACTAAGTTTTCAAGCAACAATTGCTTATCTTGATATTTAAAACAAGTTGCTGCATTAATGTAATTTAATAAATTCAGTAGAAACTTAATTAGTGATTTTTTTTTTATTCATCTAAATAGAATTGGCCTTTATAGGGGAATGATCACTAGTACTAAAAGTAAAAATATATTTTAATTGTAAATGTAAAAATATTTTTTTAAAAAAATTGCTTGATATGAGCAGACTTATATAATATACAAGAACTTGTAAACGCTGTTTGCAAAGATTTTTTTACTATTGTTAAAAATATAAAAAGTCTGCCTCTTCAAAAAAAGGCTTGCCTTTTTCAAACTCCTGAGGAAAAAACTGTTCATTTTTACGCTTTTTCCTACCAATGTAAATGTGCAGTCACATGATTTAAAATCGCACATAGCGTGTCCCATTTATGCCATTTAGGATCGCACATTGTGTTTCGTATTCACACAGTTTAAAAGCCACTATTATGATTCATATTTAAGTGACTTAAAAGTAATACATTGGGAATCATATTCACTCTATTTTGAAATAGAACATAGAGATTTGCATTTGCACAATTTTAAATTGAATTATCCAGATACATATTTACGCAATTTTAAAATCAAACATTGAGATTCATATTAACTTGATTTTAAAATTAAATGTCAAAATTCGTATTTGCGTGATTTGAAAATCACACATTGAGATTCATATTTATGCAATTTTATGAAATAAATAAATAAAATATCACATCGATATTTTTATCGAATCATCGATAATATTCTGTGGATAAATACTTTCTGCATACACTTTTTTCTTGTTCCGATTTCAGGTATTTTTCAAATATTTAAAAAATGTTTTTGCGCATGAAATTTTTGTATTTCTATTTTCAGCTTTTTAAATTTTTTTACCTAACTTATCCCTATTGTTTAAACCAATATAAAATTCTCTAAAAATTGAGCATTTTTCGAAAAAAGTCTGTGATAGTTAAACAAATTTTGCTAAAATGAGATAGTAACAAAGTGATTGAAACTAGTTACAAGAGTTAATCAATGCATGCAGAGAGTTTTTTAATTGAGATTTTATGATCGCAGAAAGTATATGAGCAACCTTTTGTGTTAAAATCAAAATAGCATGCATCTAGAGTAGCAATTCCTAATTTTTTTTTGGCTATGGAACCCTAAGTTGTTGAAAAATTTAATGTGCACTAACATTGATCAGAACCGTCTAGCATCTTGTTGATGTGAAAATTTTATTTAACAGAAAACATATCCGACATAACTTATACTTTTTTTTTTAGTATATAGATTTGGTCGTGGTTTTGAAACTCTTTATTCCTGCCTTGGCTGCATGCATCTAGATGATCCGGTTCTTCATTTCACTATCACCTTCTCCAAAATTAACACTGCTATGTACTTATTTGTGGACCATTTTATTTGGCTCAACCGTGTTGGGCTGATTAATATCGACAAGGACAAATGGTCGAAATTGTACTATAAATTTTGGTTAAATTTTGTGGTCATGAATTTGGCAAGAGACATTTATGAAATTAAGAAAATATTGGAAAGGCAAAGCTTCAGTAAGTTGAGCCACGAGTTTCAAGGTAATAGGATTCAGAAAGGTAATACTGTTTCGTCTAGTCTTCAAGTTCTGTTTAGTTTTCTGGAATTGCACAAAGATGTCATTGTTGACACAGTAAAAAATGGGTGTGATCTTTTCTTGCCTCTTGCACAGATGGGGCACGTTTCGATTTCTTCACGAACCATGGGCATTTTGGGAATGATTTCATCTGTTGCTGGAATGTTGCCTCTTATTGACTCTACTTATAAGTTGAGCCCATGAGTGACATTTTTTATAAATTTTTAGTAAGTTGTTTTGGTACAAGAAAGTATTTTGTACAAAATAAACCTTGTGAAAAATATGTTTAAACATAAAATCTATTTAAGAAGCACAGCCGTCATAAATGAAGATAAAGCATGGCATTTGCTATAGTGCAAAATTAGGAAAATTTGTTATTGGCTAGTTGACAGTTATAGTTATATTTGTTTACTGTGACAATTATATTTTTTTACTACGGCCACGTTCTGAGAAATTGATTCTAATTATCAAAGAAAAATTAATAAACAAGTGTGAAACAATGAAATTTTCATAGTATTAAAAATATTCATAGCTCCATAATTATTAAAACAATAATAATAGTGAAGTGCATTTTGGAAGAACAAAAAGTGGCAATTTGCAGACAGTTTTTTTAATCCCTGTTTGTTAAGTTTAATCATCCAGTGGCAACCGTTAATTTTGCCTATAGCATTTGCTTCTGTAAATGCAATTTTCAGGATAAAATGAAATTTTTATATGTTTTTGCAGCAAACTGTTGATCTGCCTACCTGAACTCATTGCTTTGCAATTGAGTTCACATTGGATGAACTCAACCGCATTGATTTCCTATGTTTTAAGTGTCAAAATTTTAAAAAATCATCCGTAGTAGAGCGAGAAAGTTTGTTTCAAAGGAAAAATTTTGAACTTTACTAAAATAATAAAAATTATAGACTTGTTTAAAGGCAATGGGTTTCAGTGCAGAGAAATCTTGAATTAATTGAAAAAAATCTTAACTACAAAAATTCATCTTACAAATGTAACCTAATTGTTCTGCATCTACCTTTGCATTGAATTCAGTGTTATAAAAACATAATTTCATGCCATAAGCACTCTATACGCAAACAGACACGCACATCATTTTATTATATCAATAAATTGGGAGTACTTTCTATATTGATGTACAATATTAACAAAGAAAGGAACTATGTTATATCTATAATTTGAAGAAAAAAAAGCTTAAGATTTATTTTTATTTGTAATTTTTAAAAAATTATTTAAAGTTTGGTGAGATCTGATAATTTTTGCTTCCTTTTTTCTTCTGTAACTGAATTTTTCATAAATAATTTTGTCTCAACTTAGAAATGTTATAATCTTAATCTAATGTTATATCTTTAAAATATAGATTATCTAAATATCACACTCTATTTCCTTAATATGAATGTCATTTTAGTTGTTAAATATGCTTGTAATTTTTCAATACTTTGGTCATAGTTATTATCGATGCAGCAAAAATATACTGAATACTAAATTTGTCAGATATAAATTTGATTTCGTAACAAACATAATTTGTATCGATTTAGTATGAAAATTGCAACTACTGGAACGTCTACTCCAGTTGTGTTATTGTCCAATATATTGTATTTTACTTTTATTCGTAATGTACTAATTAGATTCATTCATAACTATTGTTTGAAAGCAAATTTTTAGTATGAGGTGCAGTGTTAGTTACGAAGCATATGTTGATGATATTTATCTTTATTTGAAACACATTCAAATATAAGATATCTGCTATATTATATTTTCCTCTTCTTTTTTTTTTTAAATAATTAAAATTGTAAATGCTATAGGTGTAGCCTATCTGTTCTGTAAAATAAAAATTTGTCACAACTTGCTACTTACAAATGTTTTTTTAATTTTTTTTTTATTTTTAGTATGTCAATTTCAAGATGTTATCTTCACCTTTTTTTATTTTAACACATTGCCACTTTCTTAAAAATATTCTTCATTTGAATTTGCAATTTATTTCTCTGCTTAGCACTTATCACTCTCTTATGTAATAGGCTGCATTTGAGTTTTTTTTATTTATTTATTTTTTTTATAGTTTTTAAGAAGTGTAATAATCTATATTATTTTATGAGCTTTTTAATTTTGATTAAGTCATTTTTTTTCTTTTAAATCATTAAAATAAAGTAATATAAGCATATTAAATTATTAAAGTCTTATTATAAGTACTATATTAAATTTTTAATTCATTTGTTTCTAATAATAAATTTGTCTTTACTTTATTTTTTCAAACGTAATTACTTTTTTTTTAATAAGTATCTAAATATGTTATCTGTTTTTATACAATGTTCCAGGCAATTACAAATGTTTTTTTTAAAACTTTTTTTGTTATTACATTTTGTTAATCCTTATCATTATAAACATTGTTCTTTTATTTTATTTTAAGTTAATTTAATATTTTTAATTATATGTTGATGCATCATTATTGTTGGNGGGTCTCTACGTTGAATAAGGTGAGTGCTTGTATTTATATGTTTGAAGTGGAATTAATTGCATGTAATAGTTTTATTTTTCTCACTGTCAAAACGAGAATTAAAAATATAGTTATTGAAGTTACGTTTTTTTTATTTTTTTTATTTTTTTTTAGGCATCATAGCATAATAAAGTACCGAGATAAGGGGGTGTTTATTCACTGGATCACCAAACGATGAAAAACCAGTGAAGGAACAAGTGTTCCTTTACAGGTTTTTTTCCTAAGTTAATGAAAATAAAAATAAAAACTTTAATTTTCTTGTACCTTTAATGATGTTCCGCATCAAAAATATGTTAAAAATACGAAAAAAAACTTCTAACTAGTGAGGGAACAGGCATGTTCCCCCTTACTGGGCATAGATTTCCCAGTGAATGAACAGTATGAGTTAATATGTTGACACTTCAATTTTCAATTCATGATTACAAAAAAAAAAGTTAACATTTTCCAAGTATTTATATGTTGTAATTTCAAGAATAGGCTTGTTTTTAAATATTTGTATGGCTTATAAATTCATAAAGAGCATTAAAAAATAACCAAAATTAAGTGTTCCTTTACTGGGTGTTCATTCACTGGTAAGAGCTGTTCCTTCACTTGGTCTTCTTACTACTTGTTATTTGAACCTCCAAAACTTTAAAACAATATTATGTAAGTTCTCTACAATTTTTTTACATAATTTGCAATTAGTAACAAATATGTTGACACTGTCATTTAACTAAAATTACGAATTTTGAAATTAATATGATTTTTTAAAAGGCAAGCGAAGCTTAAGTGTTCCTTCACTGGTTAGTTTACCCTATATATATATATATATAGGGTAAACCAACCAGTGAAGGAACACTACCCAGTGAAGGAACATTTCATATATATTGATTAAAAATAAGAATTTGAAAGTTTTTCTTTAGATTGATTGGTAACAATAGCTTACTGCCAAACAATAGGAAGTCATCTAGCAATGTTTTGGATTACCTGGTCAAATAGACTTCTCTGGAAAAATTTTTGAATTTGTTATTATCTCTGCAACACCTTGTTTCTTTGAAAAAATTATAAGGTGAGTGTTTGTATTTATATGTTTGAAGTGGAATTAATTGCATGTAATAGTTTTATTTTTCTCACTGTGAAAAAGAGAATTCAAAATATAGTTATTGAAGTTACGTTTTATTTTTTTTAAGCATCATAGCATAATAAAGTACTGAGATAAGGGGGTGTTTATTCACTGGATCACCAAACGATGAAAAACCAGTGAAGGAACAAGTGTTCCTTTACTGGTTTTTTTTCTAAGTTAATGAAAATAAAAGATAAACTTTAATTTTCTTGTACCTTTAGTGATGTTCCGCATCAAAAGTATGTTAAAAATACGAAAAACAACTTCTAACCAGTGAGGGAACAGGCATGTTCCTTTACTGGGCATAGATTTCCCAGTGAATGAACAGTATGTGTTAATATGTTGACACTTTAATTTTCAATTCAACAAAAAAAAAAGTTAACATTTTCCGAGTATTTATATGTTGTAATTTCAAGAATAGGCTTGTTTTTAAATATTTGTATGGCTTATAAATTCATAAAGAGCATTAAAAATCAACCAAAATTAAGTGTTGCTGTACTGGGTGTTCATTCACTGGTAAGAGCTGTTCTTTCACTTGGTCTTCTTACTACTTGCTATTTGAACCTCCAAAACTTTAAAACAATATTATGTAAGTTCTCTAAAATTTTTTACATAATTTGCAATTAGTAACAAATATGTTAACACTGTCATTTAACTAAAATTACGAATTTTGAAATTAATATGATTTTTTAAAAGACAAGCGAAGCTTAAGTGTTCCTTCACATGTTAGTTTACCCTACCTAGTTTAATATACAGCAAAATAATGCTCACATTTTTAAAAAAAAAAAATTTCAAATCGCAAGAAAATACTTTTTCTGAAGAGTAAAGAAGCTTTTTCATTTCAAACATATTTTGATGCCTTCATAAATATTTCTTGACTGCATATATTTCTTTTCCCTTCTTCTAATTGTTTTTGATCAAATGTGATTTAATTGACATAATTATGTTAGATTTATTTTATATTATAGCAATAAAAATAAGTATTAGGTTATGTATATATTTTAAATATTTCTTATTATTAATACTTTATCCGAACCAAAGTTTCCTTAATGATTACAAATGCATGGAGTAAATATAAATTCACATTTTTTTAAAAATGTATTATTGTAATTTTTCAGATATAATTACAATCTTATTGTTTAACATAAACTTACCTTGATATTAACTAGATATAGTCTTATTGTTTTTGTTGATATTTATATTAATTGTATATTGTTTGTTTTTTCTATCTTCATTATGTAAATGTTTAACAAAAATAAAGTAGTATTTAAACATTCGTTATTAATTTATCTAAATATTATTAACTGCAAGTTTTGTTTACATTAAGGAGGGAAAAAAATGCTTTGTGAAATGTGGCATTACAATAAAAGGAATATACTATCTTTAAAATTAGGTTGATATGATAGCAGTAAGATATAAAAATACAAGTGTGAGAACTGTAAAAATAATTTTCGAATAAGTAAAAGTAGTATGTTACAAATTAAAATTATTATAGTTTTAAGAGCTTGCCTTTAATCCTATTCATGGTAAAATATTTATTTGTAATACAGTGCGTGTCTCTCATAAAATCACATTCGTTTTGGTATTTGATTTTATAAATGGCCTAGCAATAATTCGATAAAAAAATAAGGAATTTCAGAGTTAAACTGTACAGATCCTTAATACACTAAAAGCTAAACCAATTCTATCATATTTTATTTGTACTGTTTTAATTTACATTTAACATTTTGATTAACCCTTTTCTTCTCTCTATTGCCAAAATGAAGGGATGAAATTTAGCTTTTTATTTTTTCTACCTATGATATTTCAGAGCTGGAGTGTTCAAAAGTTAGGTTCTAGAAATATTGAAATAATTTATCTCAAGAACTATTCAATCATTACATTATATTTTGCCATGTATAATGATATTCTTTAAAGTGATGTTAAAAATGTTGTACCTTACAATTAAAAATATATATATATATATACGTATATATATTTTTGAAGTTATTCTGAATGGTGTGGTCTGTTTTTTTTCTTTTTCTTCCCACTTTATTCATACTATAAGTTATGTATAATTTTCTTAAGTTAAAAAAATAGACACTTCTTCAAGCGTTTTCTTCAAAATTATGCGACTATTAAGGAGTTATATTTCCCAGAAGAGATTTAAAATATTGGTGTATCGTTGTTTGATTAGCAGACTAAAAAAATAAAGATACAACATTATTTAAAATCGTATATAAAGTTTTTGTAACTTTCAGTATAATAACGAATGCCAAGGATTAATTGAATTACCTTTTCAGTTTATCATAGAAACTTTTTAGGCATATTGCTATTACCAAATTAAATTTAAAATGAAAAATACTGTATCCTTAACCTTTATTCATCGATGAATTATATTAAAAAATTATTCATCGATATACTCTGGCTTTTTTTTTTATTTTGATGAAATAATTACAGAATACAGGCTGATTGTGCTCTGGAAAAAATCCGGATTTTTCGCTAATAGTGATCAGGAAGTTTCCGGAGATCGAACATCCAGACGTTTAAAAAAATCATTGATCAAAGAAGTTTCCGAAAATCAAATTTTCGAAGGTGGAACTTAATAACACAGTTTATTTTATTTGTTTGTAAGGGAGAGCCAGATACTTTAAAAGCTTATATTCATGATTAATATTCATTTTTTATCAGTAAATAGTTATTATAATCATAAACTCAAGAAAGTAAGACATACTTGTAAATTTTAATTACTTCACCAGGTCATCATAGGATGTGTAAAATTTAAATATATTTTAAGTAAACTAAGAAATATTGAGAAAAAGAAAAAAAACCTTGTTTAAAATTTTTTTTATATTTAAACTTTTTTTTTTTTACTCAAGAAATTTTCTGGAATTTTGATTTGAGCTCACAATCACCCTGAGAATGGATATCCTTCACTTAGTTTATATCATCAAAGACAAGGCTTTCAACCATTAGTTTATTTACACTTAAATTCTTTTTCAACCCTACTGTAGCTCCTTTATTTTTATACACTTAATGTAATAAACCAAAGCATGGAATAAACAACAAAAAATTTGCAATCATAAAATTTATTTGTTATAGGCCTGCTATACCAAAATTATTTGTAAACAATTTGCAGACATATTCAATAAGTCAGCATTAAATACATATTCATAATAACAAAATATGGCTCTATAATAAATTTTACAAGATTGTGTATCTTTTGTGCATAAATTCTTGTATATGCTGCAATCTTAAGTCACCTGAGATCAATGTAAAATTTCTTTTCACAGACCATTTTTAAAATTATAAATACAAAAATTCTTTCATTAAAATAATCTATGTATATATTCTCTGAAAATAATTGTAAATTTTTTATACATATATTTTTAATAGAAAACGCAAACATTTATCAAACTATATACATTTAAAAAAATAACATTTTGCATTTACAATAATTTCAAACAGTATGTTTCTGTACCTCTGACACTAGAATAATAGAATCAAATAGTAATCAGATATAAAGTTTCAATTAGTGGCAACACTTTCTCTCATATATACATATATTACTTTTTTCTAAATGTAAACACTAGAATAATAACAATAAAAACGTATACGCAAGGTAAGTTTAAATAAAAAAGTAGCGAAAATCTTGTTTTGCCATTCGATTTTGAATAAAAATATAATCAGGTATCAAATTTCAATTAGTGACAACTCATATATATATAGATATATATTCATTTTTTTTAATGTATACACCAGAATAGTAATAAAAATGCATACTCCAAGATAAGTTTAGATAAAAAGACCAAGAAAATCGTTGATACTTTTAAGTTTTCAAATGAGATTTCAACATTATAAAATCTTGTTTGCCATTCGTTTTTAAATAAAAGCATACCCTGCGTATTTACCTTTTTTTTTAAATATTTTAATATTGGAATTGTAAATTAATCATATTAAAATAATTTGAGAGGAACCTCGTTAAATCTAGTTAAAAGTTTGATAATTGCATTTTGAGCAAACATATATTAAAAATAAAAAATATGCATCTTTTATACTACCATTATTATTTTAAAGAGTTCTCTTAATGGGAAAGAGGAGTCGAGTTTATAATTTTCGGTTTAAGACAGTATAAGCTTAATGTGTTAGTAATTAACTCAATCATATGTTGATCGTGTCGTGTTAGTAATCAACACAATATTTAATGGTCAAAGAAAGATATGTATTGTATTTCAAATCAAGAGTTCTTAGTTTTTAAATGTTCATAATCACATGATTTCCTTTTCAAATGAATTTGAAAGCATATTATAAAATTAAATATATTACGGTGGGCACAAATGTTTTTATGTCCTGTGCTAATAATACAACGCATTTTTGACATTTTTTTGAATTTTAAACATTCTAAAAGTACATTCTAGTTTTACTGTTTAAATTTATAGTCATTTCATAAATGTATAAGTCTATTGTATTGCTTAAGAGACATATTACAAACATTAAAAAAGCAAAAATAAGTGTTTATATAGCACAAAACTTGTTCAAGATAAAAAAAAGAAACGTTCATTGTTTAATCCAGTATTTTTTCATAAAAGAATGTCACATTCTAATTATTATCTTGTGTAACTCATTTCATTCCGAAACAGATAAATTTATTCAAATGCACATCTCGCCTGCAAAATTATCTCCGTGGTTCTGTTGTAAACTGCATCCGATATTTCTGTGAACTGTTAGAATATTTACTAATTATCTTTTATGTGTGTCATGGCTTCCACAGAAACATGATATGGGTAGCAAGAAGGCGTCGATATAAAATCCTCGATGTGGTTCCCAGGCAAGTAGTCTGTATAGTTTGTATTGTTGCAGGCAGGCTGAGATAGTTTCTGTACCACAAGTGGCGACGAATCCATACGAATAGCTGCAACATTAAATTGAAATTATAAAATAGTTAACATTAGAAAAATCTGAATTAGTTATTTTTAAGTAACGGTTATTTGAATGATGTTTATAGAATTGCAGGTGTTCCATAATATCCGCCTTTTATCGCAAAAATGATCGACAATTTGAAAAATCAATTTTAAAAGAAATGGAAGACATAGTTAAAGAGGTAAAGTGAAAAACAAATTTGGTAAATTAGTATTAAAACGAGAGAAAAAATTTAAATACTGACCATCATTAAGAGTTTGAAAAGTTGGAGATTAGAGTTTTGAAAAATTAACGTACTTGTCAGTGGGACTAAGATACATTCTCTAAAACCATTTACCTTTAACCACAAACAAACTAGTATTAAATTATTTCCATCTTGCCTCTACTTTATTGATAAGAGTGGTTTACGTTTAAAAGCATTCTCTCCTGAATTTTAATTTCTAACCTGGTTTGCAAAGTTTTTATTTTACACGAATTCTAAAAATATGTACCTACACCTACCTATGTATAAAAAATATGTACCTGTGTATAAGCACCCTGTGTTTGATGGTAATCAGTGTGAATAATCTTGGGCACCGAAGCGGGTAAAGTAATACATGGCAGAAATGAGTTCGCAGTCTACTCGAAAAACATAATTTTTGAATTTTTTATTATCCTTTTTTTCTTCTTCTTTTTTAATAAAAAAAATTGCGTCCGTATTGTTCTGCTATTACGAGAACGTTTCCAGATATCAGACGTACTTGCAGTTACTGTGATTATGAAAATGAGTTACTTGGAATACAGGCAAATGATGAACGGTTTTACAGTGGTTTAGGCTGTGAGAGTCAGGCCGTTGCTTTAATTTTCTTCTCTTAGATACGGTTTTCCTCTTGTTCTATGGATGGTGTTTTCAGTATAAAAGTAAACAATAACAATCTGGAGCTCAATACCTGCTCTAGTTCCTGTTAGAAAGTTTGCAACTACTTACTACAGCTTATTCTGCGAGGCGATGTTTTCAAACGGATAATTTTGTTTTCGAAGCGCGAAATAAATTAAATAATTTCTGAGCTCAAATCTGATGTATTTCCTAAGATATGAATGTTATTAAGTAATTCTGGTGAGTTTGAAGTGAAAATTTGTTTTAGTTATTTATAGATATGTTGTTAAAAAAAGGTGACATGTTTGCTAGATTTTGAATAACTCGCTTTTTTTGGCAGTCTTGATTTGGCCTCTTTCCATTTGTTTATTACTGTTTTGTTCTTGTTGCAAGCTGTGCACCATCTTACGTTAGTGTTAGCACCATTTGCATTGTAAACACAAGTATTGTTAGCATTGTAATCACAAGTAATAAGTAATCAAATACCACGTTTGCAAGAATCTCAAAACACAATGATCACGTTGTGAGCCAAATGACTTTAAATTACACCGGAAACAGTAACCCGGATGTATAGGCGGTATGGAGCTTACAGCGTTCCCTAGTGTGGAAAACACCATCCATAGTAGCAGACAACCACAGACTATCAGTCTGGAGAAGTTCTTGTGATAGCTGAACCGTAAGTTTGTTGTCCAAAAGTATTCTAAATATCGATTGGAAAACAGTTTGCTAGCAACATTTAGGGAACAACTGTCATTTTTATTGGTCTCAGGCGTAGAACTCCAGCTAAAATTTGCACGTTCTCTACTTATTGGAACATTGTGGAATTTTCAGTTGCAAGATTCCAAACTCAAAGATACAAAAGCAAATTTATTAAAACTTAGTGACAATAATTTGAAAATTATTTTATATTAGCATCAGATATGAAACTCTAATCGAAACTTAGAACACTCTATAGTCTAGCTAGTTGGAAAGTAGGGGAAATTTCGATTGCAAAATTTCACTTAAAGACGGGAAAGTAAATTTATAAAAACATAGTAATAAAGAGGAAAAAATTATTCCACACACTTACTTGCATTCTTCTATTCTCACTGTTTGAGTGTAGTTTGCGCCAGTTTCTTCAAATTCCACATTTACAATAATTTTCCATTGTCCGGCAGTGTTGATTGCTCTTAAAGGTTTGGCGTAGTAAATGTTGGAAGTACACCCAGAAGAATTGCTGATTTCGTTTGGCGTTGGTGCGATTGCTTTACCTTCGAAGGAATACGAAACTGCTGTAGACTGCAGCGGTACAGAGTTTTCGAATACTTTATTCAAACTATCATCAACAACGTTGGAGGATGCGCTAATGTCCACCAGAAAATGGTCCAGTGGATGCCTGTTTTGTTCGATTGCTTCTTTGATTTTATCTCTGAAAACAATACGGTGTTGTAATTATACATTTATTATGTCTCTACATATACATAAAAATTTATTAACAACTTTTAATAATTCTAGATACTATGGCTATGAATTCGCAAATAAACCATATATTTTATTGACACACCAACTTATTCGTTTCCTGGTAGATCACCGATATCAAGCATCACTTGCATAGATCAGCGAATGGGTGATTGACTCTTTTAATCAGACTGCGAAGGGACCGAGGATCTGTGGTAACGGTTCCCGTTAAACTGTTCTATAGTAAAGTGCTCGACTTCGCGCGCAGGTCGTCCTCTGCAGAGTATCAAAATTGTGACGGCATGTCTTCGGATTATCCTCAGGGATGTTTCCCTGGCTATCTTTAGTTGCCCTTATGTAGCTCTGGTGCAATAAAAATAAAGTACAATTACTGTCACTTCAACTTGGTAAAAAAAGGAGCCTAATTCCCTGATTACAAAAGATCTTATTTGTTCTCACTTTTTAAATTAAAAACCATCTCATCAAATATTGAAACTATTAGGTGGACTGGAAAGTGATATCGTTTAGGTGCATTTGATATTTGTTATCAAGATTTTATTTTTAATCTATAATGCATTCACCCTCGTTAGCAACAACCTTACAATGTCGGATGGAAAATGAATCGAAATAGATCGAAAAAAAATTTAATGGTTTTTAAGACTAGCGAATATTTAATGCTCCGAAACGACATTACTTTCCGGTCCACCTAATAAGTTTCTTTTGTGGCAGCTGGTTTTTGAAAAAAAAATTTGTTTCACTATTTAATTAAAAACTTATAGTTCACTATTATATACATAATATAGTTCACTATTTAATTAAAAACTAATATTTATTGGACTTTAACATTAATATGTACATTAATAAGATTTATTTTTGAAGACTATATTTTTAGATTAAAATTAATTCCTGTTTGATTTTACTTGCATTCTTGCAAGCAACAATAAATTAACTAATCAATTTTATAACTTGCCCTCATTTACCTCCTGTCATGGGCCTAGTCTTTAAAAAATATACTTTCAAATTGGCCTATTTATATAATTCAAAATGAAGATAAACGTAAACAATATAAAACCGTCAATTGTCAAAAACTCTCCAACCCTGCCTAGTTATGATATTTTCTTAAAGTGCTTAAAAATATTTTTTGAGTGCTTGAAAAGTGTTTAAAAGGTGCTTATAGTTTGCCGAATAATTTGGTGAATAATAATTATTTGGCGAATAATTTGTCAAATAATTTATTTTTTTACGTAGTTGGAATATAATTCACTACTTAATTAAAAACTAATATTTAGTAGGCTTTAACATTAATGTTTACATTAATAAGATTTATTTTTTGAAGACTATATTTTTAAATTAAAATTAATTCCAGTTTGATTTTCCAGTTTTGCAAGCCACCCTAGTTTAAATTTTAATTTGAAAAAAATACCAAGTATGTTAAAAATAATGTTTATTATTATTATTTTGGGCAAACTTATAAAATTAGTTCTCCCTGTCACCAAAGAATATATTCTTTGGTGAATATATTCTTTTATATTCTTATTTAAAGGAATATAGAGGGAATTCTTCTTTTCTGTATTCCCTCTATATTCTTTGCTATCACCCTTTTCCCAATATTTGTTCTGAAGCAAAATTAACAAATTGAAAGATGATAGAAATTTTTAATTACTTTGGGTATTCAGGATCTTGTAAGCAATAAGTCAAGTTGTTGTGTTTGGCACAAACTGGTGTGTCTCCATCATAGTAATAAGAAGTTGTGGAATAGGCGGATGGACTCTCAACTGGAGATTCCGTTGTGGCGTAAGTTGTAGTGGTTGGTTGTGCGGTGGTCGTCGTCGTTGTTGGAGCAGACGTTGTCGTGAGTTGAGGTTTGGCATCGGGTATCGGCAAGTGATATCGAGAAGCATTCGGTTTCCAACTCTGCCAGGGAGACACCTTTGCTGTTTGTTTCTCAGAAGGAGAATATTGATAAACGTATGAGTGTGTGTTCTTGTGGTTCTTCATTTCACCTTTGTCGCTGTCTTTCTTGAAAAATGGAGATGAAGTGGGACGGACAAACGCAGGCTCGGTGGGATTCACCATGTAAGTGTTCTTGGGTGCTTTTGTTAAAAGCTGAAATCAAAAATTTTGATAAGGAGAAATGTTATTTAATTTTTTTTCATACAATGTTTGGCCGATGTTGGAGGCTGAGAACAAAACCATATTAATTAAAGAAAAAATGAATTTAATATACACCGAAGAGCCATTACATTATGACCACCCTCCATCTATAACAATGGGCTCGCCGAGGTTTTCATGGTTTCTCGCCCAGGAACAATGTCTTCATGGAGCACATTATGACCCGTAATCCTCATAGAACAATCCCTGACGTCTGTAAGCTACTTGAACATAGTTGCAGACCAGGTTCACCCATTCATGGCAACAGTTTTTGCTGCGGGGGATGGTGTTTACCAACAGGATAATGCACCATGTCATAACGGTCGAATCACCATGGATTGGTTCGAGGAACATTCCAGTGACTTTCAAGTCATGTCTTGACCCCCAAATTCACCTGACCTTAATCCAATAGAGCATTTGTGGTCCTACTTGGAAAACCAAATTCGTGCTGCCACGCTACCCCCTCGCAATGTGAGGGAATCGCAGGACCAGTTGGTGAGCGCTTAGTACCAGATTCCTCAGACTACCTATCAGCATCTTGTGGAATCAATGCCACGGCGGGTACTAGCAGTGTTGAGGGCTAAAGGTGGTCATAATGTAATGGCTCTTCGGTGTGTTTCACACATGCTTATTTACTTCTCAACAGAATCATCATTAATATTCGGATAGTTTTATATGGGATACTATGTATTTCTGACATAGGATACTAGTTTGGAACTCGAGTTCCTTCATTTAAACATCTTCAGAATGCTGTGCTCTTCTAGATAAAATTGTTTGAATATACAACTTTTTTAAAAATTTGAATTCTCAGGGACTATTCAACCGATTTTGCCCAAATTTTGTATTTTGCCATGTAAAATTAGATACTTTGAAAAAATGAAGAAAAAAATTCTATGCCTTACAATTAAAAATTTTATCGACTATTGTTAAATAAAATAATAAAAAATAATAAACATGCGCTAACATTTATTTTTGCATAGAATTATCTCAAATTTTGCAAGCGCATGCTAAAATTTCTGAATTCGCCTAAAAGTTCTCGAGATAATAGCGAAATACGCAAAAAGTAAACCCCTCTCCTGATCAAAGTATAGGGACCATATTTCCCAGATTGCGGCTACTCCCTATATTCTGGGAATCAGAAATCCAATTCCATTGAAAAAAAAAGGAATGTTTTCTCAAAGAAAGTACATTTTTGGGTCCTATTTCGCAGCTTAAAATTGCATCGGCACTAATGGTTTAGCATATTTGAGAGCACCCCCCTCAAACCATTGAGTCCTAAACGTGAAGATCTGATCATCAGTTCAAAAGTTATTCAGGGTGGTTCGTATTTTTATTTTGTGATCTGTACTTTGCCGGAAAGCATACCGATTTTAGGTTTCTTTCAAACTTACAATGCTTATTAGAAAAATTCTTTTGGATTAATAGTTAACCTAATAACCTAAAGTTTAATAGTTAACCTATAACCTAAAGTTCAAAGAGCAGTATAAGAGTTTATAATAAGGTAAAAATGAATGAAATATATTCTTTACAAACCATAGCTAAATCGATCAAAATTACAATGAATTTGAATAATTTTCTTTGTAGCACGCACTAACTTGATGAAAGTCTTAATTAGTTCAAGTTATTTATGAAGAAAAAATTAAAAGGTACAATTCAAACTCGATTTCTGAGGTAACTAACTGAAAGAGAAAATTCTACGAATGCGTAAATTATGATTTAAAGAGAAGTACTGTGTGAAGATACAGAGAGATACTTTTCTAAGTTGGTTCTTTGTATTTCATGTTTTTTCCTGGACTTCTATACAAAACCTTCGGGGTACTGAGGGTATTACTTTAGACATTTGACCCCCCCCCCCTCAAGACGTCGGCGACTTGTTTTATAGCTACCGGGGTCGGTACCCCCTGAAGACGTCGGCTTCGGTGGTCATATTTTTGTTTTTATTTACTTCGTTTCCTTTATTACTACATTTATCCTTTTTGTGAAATTTCTGCTGCTTTTACGCGCGTTTTTTTTCATACACGTTTTAATAATTTAGATTTCAAAAATTTTTTTGCTTTCTTTTAGAACATGTTAAATTATAATTCAGAGCATTTTAGAAATTGACCTTACATAAGGTACTGATAACAAAATATTTCTTTCTTATTTTAATTTTAAAATTCTCTTAGTTTAAAATTTACAAAATGAAGTGTGTGTTCTAAAACTATAACCGACCATTAAAAGTTTTGAAACCCATAAAGAGAAGTTTTACTGAAAATACTGGATAATCAATTTCAGGAAATCTTCTTCGTTAATAGCGAAACTGTTACTTGGGAAATGCTCCGAGAGAAAATTTCGTCAAAGAGAAAAAAATTATTATCTTCACTTATTTGAGGATACAAATTTCGTCAAAAGATGCACCATATCGAATTTGGAAATACAACGTTTAATAAGAAGTGAGTGTATGAATACCATGGTATTGTCTGGAATATAAACCTAGAATACTGCTTGACAAGTGAGACTGCAAAATCCTGTATCATCCTGTCATTCAGTGCAAACGGATTAAAATCAAGTAATAAAAAATATCGATGAACTTGCAGAATGCACTGAGATAAAATACGAGTAAGGAAGCAATTTCGTCAAATCTGCGAGAATTCGCATTTCATTTCAATTTCATAATAACATAAATGTTAAAAGTAACAAAATACAGCTCAGCGATTGCTGGAAATATAATAGAACATACCTAAATATATTTTTTCTTAAGTCTCTTACCCTGGAGGTAAATTTTTGAAACGGAGATAATTAAAAAGCCAGCCGTGTGGCTCTGAGGGTAGAGCGTTCACCTACCAATGAGGTGAACCAGTTTAAAATCCCAACAATGGCTGGTTATTACGAATTCCGCACCTGGCTTGCACCGACCACAGTGCTGATTTAAAATATCCTCAGTAGTAGACGGATCCTGTGTTAGAATCCCCTTGCCGGCAGGCTAACCGTAGGAGGTTTTCGTGGTTTTCCTCTCTATGTAACGCAAATGCGGGTTAGTTCCATCCTCCATGAAGGCAAATTTCTCCCAATACTTGATCCAAAAGTTCCCTTGTCTTCTGGATCTGGTTCAAAATTACAAGGCTACGAAATTGAACATTAACAGTCGCAAACCCAAAAATTGAGTCGGCGGTTCAACGACGGATAAAATACATTTTAAAAAGCTATGGGTATGACATTTTAGTGAGTTTTAGAAATTTAAGATTGCATAATAAAATAGTTTCAACTACTTTTTCATGCATTTAAAGAAAAAGAATTGGTTTAATTGAAAATGCCACTGAATAGATAAGCCGGATTTCTTAAAGATCATAAATGTAATTTAACTTGTTCATTCACTGGAATTTTCAATCATAGGATCAAGATCCCATCACATTTTATTTCAATTTTATTTCATCGGTGATAAAAATGTCACGGTATGTTAACATTTAAGCTAAACCTTTCTGAAAGACAGAAACTTCACTTATACAGCTATTTAACATAAAACCTAGTGAGCTAATTAGAGATAAATGATACTTTATGTATTTCTTTAATCCTTTCTTGAAATGCATCGTCGGATTCAGGTTCCCGATGAGCAGTGATTACTTCCGTTTCCTTAGAAGATTGGTGATCGATATTGGACTTGTCTGATCCGTCGAAAGCAAACGGATCGTAGGCTTCGGTGTACTCATACACATAAGGATTTTCCGTTTGCCGGGCAACATAGATGGACACGTCTTCTGGTAGATGCAGAGCAGCTCTGTCGCTTCCTAAAATGAGAATGTTATTTTTTAGTAGATAATTACAGGAGAGATGAAATACCTTTGTTTTAGTAACTATTTGGATCCCTGTACCTGGCGCAGTTCAAGAGTTACGACATACGGGTAACAGTCTGTGATTGGCTAAGAATCAAATTTAACCGAAAAGAAATGAAACAAACGAAGAAGAAGGATCTGTATAAATTTTTCATAAAAATGACGATTGGATTTGGAGGCCGTGGTGGCTCAGGGGATAGAGCGTTTGCCTTCCAATGAGGTAAACGGGGTTCGAATCCCACCAAAGGCTGGTCGATACGAATTCCGCGCCGACTCACACTGACCACAGTACTGACGTAAAATATCCTCAGTGATAGAATGATCATGGATTAGAGTCCCTTTGCCGTCAGGCTAAACGTGGGAAGTTTTCGTGGTTTCCCTTTCCGTGTAAAGCAAATGTGGGTTAGTTCCATCATGAAGTCCTCCCCGAAGACAAATGTCTCTAAATATTTGACCCAGGAGTTCCCTCGTCTTCTGGACTGGATTTAAAATTTCAATGCTACGGAGTTGAACATTAGTAGTAGTAAACCCATAGATAGGGTCGGCTGTTTAACGACGACGGGTATAATATGAAATAAAAATTGGATTTGCAGTTTGAGTATCACTAAGTTTTGACAATTCATAACGTAAAAAATCAGTTCTCCCCGAGAGTTGTTTCACAGTGACGATGGGCCGTGCGGGGAAAAAATAGTTCCCGTCCACGCATAGACAGGAAAGTAGAAAACTATACTGAAGAAGACGCCGGGAATACTAATGGGGAACTATTGATTAATTTTGAGGAAAAAATGATTTTTGCCCAACACGATTTTCAAATTTCATTTTTTTTCTACATCAAAAATTTTAAATTTTATTTTTAAATTATTAGGAAATGTAATGTATATGAAGACATTACATTAAAATTATAATGTAAAACGACATTCATGTATACTTTTATTTTTACGATTCTTATAATTTCTGAAAATTTTCAAACCGTGAAATTCGTTTTTCTCAGAATCAGCGTTCATGGACCTAAACCGTTTTCCCTCCTTGATCTTCAATTGCATAATTTGTTTTAAATATTTGGAGTGGCAACAATGGAAATGAAACCAAATTGAAACAAATAACGTCGTACATGTGTTAGGAAAGTACAAATTAAAAACATGACCTGACAACTTTTGCGAATTAAAAAATGTTCATGTATCCTTCTAAATTTTGTTTTTTAAATATTTTGCTTGTTTAGCTCAGTGATTTTAATGCTAATGAATAAATTAATTCGTTGACAAAACGTTTAATATAAAATAAAACATTTATAAACGTATTTCTTAAAATGTAAGGTTGTTATGGATTTTAATTTTTACCTACTTAGAGATTACGACGACATTTGTTTTCTCAGAAAATATCAGGACCCTTCAAAGATTTTGGGACAAAGAATACAAGTAATAATTATAGATTGAGAATTGTTTTATGAAAAGAGTATTTAATTAGTATAAAATTAAAATGGAGGCCTAACAAAAATTATAGATATGTATTTCTTTTTTTGCCTCAAAAATTAATCTTAGCTATTGAAAATATCAATTATCCACAAAAGTAATGTCAAGTACTACATATTTTGTAAAATATTTTTAAAACTCTATAATAGCTTTATATTTAGCACTTACGTCAAATTATTTAATGCAATGTATCATACGCCAAATGAAGAGTTATTTTTTTAACACTAGATTGCCTAAGGAAGTCATTTTGACTGCTTTTAATTTCAATAAAACAATGATGTATACAATACGACACAATTTCTTAGAATTTCGTGACTTTTTGAACAACATATAATTTTTTTATTGTTTATATTTACTAATAACTTGTTACGTAACTGTAAATAGTATAAAAAATGTTAAAAATTAATTCTAAACAAAGTTATTGACGCATTCACAATCTAGTCAATTTGACTGTTTTTCGCCAATATAGGCATATACTAATTTTCCGTCTTTCTAGTGTTAAGCAATACAGTCTCTGGCCAAATTATTAGACGCACTTTAAGATTTTATGCAAAATCTTAATTATCAGGTGATACTATTCAGCTTTATTGTTTTCACGCGACTGAAACCGGTTTGCACTCGTTTACGCTCATGTATCAATTGGTTAAATTCGACGATGTATAATATATATTAGACGATATATTATATAAATATAGAATATTTATTACATCAGGTATTATATTAGTATATTATAATAATTAGACCAAATTATTAGACTTGTGGGGAGAGTAGTTATCGACCATGTCAACCTTCATCTATGAAAAGGTACCCCAACATAGAGTCGAGTTAACATGTCTTATATACTAGTGAATTGTAGTTGTAATTTTTGTAGTGGTAGATACGCCACAGTACTCTCCCACCAGAATTATATCTGTGATAGAATTCGATGAATGGATGCCACTAGTTGATTCATTGCTGTTTTGTGCGAAGCCGGGAGAGCTGTATTAAGATCACCGTATTTTTGAGTGCTGAATGTGAGAGGTGCATTAACTTCACGGTCTTAGTCGCTCCTGTGTTGCCTTTAGCAGTCGAGTGTATGCGGGCCGACGTTGTGTGCTCGAGACTGAGTAGCAACAGTGCGAGGAGGTGGATAATGTTGCAGTCACAAGTAGCAAGTCAACTATTCAATGTGGACCATCCAACGAAGTAGGCGTTTTTGCCAAGGTAGGCGTGTTCACATCACGTCCTGGTCACCAATGTGGGGAGAGTAGTTATCGACCATGTCAACCTTCATCTATGAAAAGGTACCCCAACATAGAGTCGAGTTAACATGTCTTATATACTAGTGAATTGTAGTTGTAATTTTTGTAGTGGTAGATACGCCACAGACTCACTGCAGTTTCTTAATAATTACATGTTTTGGACGAGTTTATCTGCAATATTTTTATATTTAAACATACGTGTAATGGGTTTTTATTCAGGATATTTTTCACATACCTCTTATTTGCATTTATTTTTAACGTATTTCATTACAATGTTAACCAATTGATACACGAACGTAAGCAAGTGCAAACCGGTTTCAGTCGCGTAAAAACAATAAAGTTGTATGGTTTCACCTGATAATTAAGATTTTACATCGAATCTTAAAGTGCGTCTAATAATTTGACTGTACGTTAGTTTTCTTCCTAAAAAGATTTTTCTAGTAAAAAAATTCGCTAGCGTTGTAAAAAGAAGTTTTATTTTTCTGTTTAAATGGCTGAATCAGTTCTTAAATATTTTATGCGTACTTAGTATAGCTTGGCGTATCTTCTAAATGGTAGAAAATGAAACAAAACGTAGCATTGATTCAGTTAATATGATTTCAAAGCAAAATTTGAGGGAAACTCCACCAAAATGTGGTAAACGACTCCGATATCTTTCTCTTTCGAAGAGCAGACATATTTTTCTTTCCATTCTGGAAAATGGTAAACCTGCTTATTATGTAGAGCTTATTTTTATGTACTATGTTAGCTTTTATGCAGTTATTCTCCCTCTACGGTAAATAACGATATATTATATAAATATAGAACGATATATTATATAAATATCTCCACTTTATACTATGATACCTAACTAAAACAAAACTCAATGGCACGACAGCCCATAGAAACAAATAGTTTTTTTTAACTTGTCCAATTGTTGTAATTTTGTAAGAATGAAACAGCTTGAAAACCTGAGGGCACAAGGTGTGAACATTGTTACTACGAGTTATCAGACTTTGTCTCCTTCAATTCGTTTTATTGTCTTTAATCGCCTCATTGAAAGCAATAAGCGTCTGAATTGTGTCTTATTGATTACGCATGGATGTTATTTGCTTTTAATGAATCGACTGGAACTTTCCGGACAATCAATATATGTGTCACATAATCTAAACAATAAGTATATGTGTGTTAGTAGTACATTTTGTGCTTACTTTACATAACATAAACTTTAAAAAGTATAATATATTTTTCCTCCAACAACTAAACTTTTAAGTGGCGTATAAATGTAAAATTAGGATTGTTAGAGATATGTAGTAACGTTATCTTTTGTATAGAATTTTCTACGCCTATTTTTATAACTTAATGTGCACAAACCAAAGTATTCCAAGATGTGGCGTCTCAACTATGTAAGAAATTTTAACCCGTGTTGAACTACATTACAGTGCACACTTACTGTAACCTTGACACAGTACTAAGTGCAAACATATTACAGTGCAAATTAAACGGAACTGTTTAGTATATTTTTGAGTCGCAATTGCTCAGGGGATAGAGTGTTCGCCTTCCAATGAGGTGAACCGTGGTTTGATCCCGGCGATAGCTGGTCGATACGAATTCCGCTTGAACCAACCACAGTGCTGACGTGAAATATCCTCAATAGTAGACGGATCATGAGTTAGAGTCCCNTATATATATTTATTTATTTAAGTACCTTTATATTACACTGTGTTTGATGAGAAACCTTATGCTAGATCTTATTATTAAATTGTTTTGAATCTAAGCACTCGAAAACACGTAAAAAAATGTATCCTTCAGAAAATCTCATATAGAAGGGTTTTTAAATTATAAAAGACATTCGTAATATGTTGAATCAAACCTTAACTAGTGTGTTAAATTTATTTGAAAAATAAAAACTGGTTTTATTCCTATCACGATAACTTTATTTTCCGTCTACACATCGAAAGATATAAACGAAATTAAATAATCTCCACACATCGGAGGGATAACGATATAGAAAATGACAGGGTAAAATAGAAAGCAAAGTAAATAACTCTTATGTGTCACCTAAATGCAAATGAGCTATTTTAATAAGAAGACAGGTGTGATACTAATGATTAATATTCATAACCACTTACCCTCCCTTTGTTCATCCTTGCTGGATTTTCCTCCGTTGCCTTCAGCAGATTCTTGACTGAAAGAAGTTGACGATGCGGATTGCGACGAGTCTGAGTGTGAAGGATATCCGTATTTCAAATCACTCTGTAAGCCTGTACTTTGGGGAGCAAACAATTGCTCCGGAGTCATATAACCGGAAGTATGAGATTTCGAATTGTCTTTTTGCACCACAACTTCATATTCAGTGACTTTCTTCTCATCAGGCTGGTAAGGAGAAATTTCGTGTATTGCTGAAGGTTCACTGTGAGACGAAATGGCTACACTTTCATCATTCGAATAAGTAGGGGATTTTAGATTTGCAACTGTGTGCTGATAGGCATAATAGTCGCGAAGATCCTTATTGGTATCGACAGAGGCTAGAGGATCGGTTGGGGAAAATGGTGGTAGTGTAAATTGGGTCTGATCCATGTCTTTGATGTTAATTTGGTTGGACTGCTTGTTAGTGTTCCTAAAAGAATTTACATTTGCATTATTAAATGGAGAATTACCATTGCTGTAAGGGTTATCATAGGTTATACTGCCAGCTCCTTGGGGTATAAAATCATGGTGGGGCACGTTTGATGTTTGCTGCCCGTAAGGGTTGTTTTTTGTTTGAACACCCGAGAATTGATTCTGATTCAAAGAATAATTCGGTTGCCCGTTTGAAAGTGATGAAGAAAAGTCTCCATTTACTGATTGGTAAGAGGAGGATGGTTTAGGTATTGCTGCTGATTGTTGTTGCTGTTGATAATACATTAACATTTGCTGGTAATCGATTGGCGGATTTGGTGTTTTTTGACTTTGACTGTTACTATCAGTTCCGTAATTTCCGTGGTAAGATGATTGACTTGAGGGTGCGTTTTGATGTTCTGTGCCACTATTAAACGAGGAAAGGTTTTCACCGGTTAACAAAGCCTTGACATTCATGAAATCTTGAGGAGTTGGTGGTTTTGTAAATGAGGGCGCACTCTGTGGTTTTTGGCTCGAATGAGAACTCTTTTTTTGCTGATGCTTCATTTGACTAAGAACTGCTCGACCTTCTGGAGTTTGACTTAGCATACCATAAAAACTAGGGTCTTGGTTTAGTAAATCTTCGCTGTAGAGCGGTTTGTTTTGGAAATAATCACTGGTTTGTTGCGGTTGCATTCCAAATTGAGATGAAGTGGATGGAGAATTAGGAAATTGGCTCTCTTGGAGTTGATAATTAGGTGAATAACTTTGAGACGAAGCAAGTGGTGAGACAAAAGGATTTCCTCTATTTCTTGTGGGTTTTGGTGGCGAACTACCAGAATTATACCCAGAGCTATACGGGTTCCTTTGATGGGAATTTAAGTTGCCAGCATTTGGTTTTCTCGATGGTGCTTTAGATCGTTTTTGATTATTTTGGCTCTGTATCTGGGATGTAAACTGCTTATTTTGTTGCATGAATGGTTTATAAATGCGAGGATGAAACGGCAAAACATTTTTCGGATTTACAAACTCTACGTTTGGAGGTATTGAAGCCAATGGTGATTCAAATTTTCCATTGTAGTGAGGGTTTTTAATATTAGGACCTCTTGGGCGCTGATTAGGTTTTCTATTTCTAGGAGGACCACTATTTGGTTTAGGATTGTTTAACCCATTATATTTTCCACTATTCACTCTCTGTGGGTTTTGTACAGAACTTTCCGCTATTGGAGCTTTATATGGTCTAGCGCCTTGTTGTTCCAATTTATAACCTCCTCCTCTAATGTCCAAAGTTACACCTCTCTTTTTAGGATAGCCTTGACCAGTCCGAGGTGGGTAAGAATTAAAATTTGGAGACCGAACATTACTTTTCGTATTCATTGGAGTCGACGCTGCTGCTGATAGTGTTATTTGAGGAAGTACTGGTGATAGGGGATTAGCAAAAGGTAGCATCTGTGGATTTAACGAAGGAAATCCCCCTATGTTCGTAAAAGAGTCATCCCCCATTAAAGAGTAAAGCGAAGAGGCTTGTAAGCTTGGAATATAAGATCCTTGATTGATGCTAAAATCAGTAAGTTGGTCAAAGCTTGAATCAGAGTATCCTCCGAAAGGGTTTAAACGCACGGATTGCGATTGCGCACTTTGCGTCAGTGCAATCACTATAATGCACAACACCTACAACACAAAAACAGAATATTAGTCAAATGAAAAAATACGTTATTATTGATTTAGCATATTGACTGCATAAGAAGCCAATGACCTCATATGATGCTCCGGCATTAAGGTCATCACATGAGACCAACGGCGAGTAACAAATACAAAACTAATGTATAATGCAATGATCAAATGTTCCCTTTTAATTATATTAAACTATAGTACGCAAATACAAAAATAAACTCATATTGACGTCGCGTCAAAGATAAGTAAATTCAGCGTATATGTAAGGTGTTAAACGAATAGTCTATGAACTATTCTAGGTTTGGCAGTTATAATTTTTTTAAAAATATCCACAGCCGCATCATTATTAATCATTATTATTTTTGTAAAGGTTCGAAACTATTATTTAACTATTATTAACAAAAATTTTTTAGTGGCTTTAAAATAATACTAAATTGATTAGGAACTGACCCCTCTATTCAGCGATATTTTTTTTAAAGGTCTATTATTCACATCAAAACTGCGTCCAACAATGTTCACAACTAAGTTCAACAATGTGTAAACAAAGTTCAAAAACTGTACATTTTGAAGAAATTATTATTTCTTTTTATCCTTCATTATAAAATTTTCATTATTTGCTCAATTTCCAGTAGAACAGAAAATTTATAGGAATTTTTTACTTTAATATTATAAAACTTAAATTAATGCATTAGAATAAATAAAATTTTGCAAAATGATAAAAAAAAATATTTTAGTTCGAAGAAAATTTATTATATCGATTGCTAGGTAAATGGGACCTGCATGCCTCAAAATCAATGAATATTTTAATAATCACTAAGATTCAAAATCGATGGTTAAACTATGGTTCATTTTTGTACCAAACATAAACCATTATGAAGCTGTACTATACGATTTCAAAGAAACGGAATTAGAACAAATGTCTCATGAATAGCGTTACTAATTTATTTTGATAGTTTTTTCAAGTAAAAATCTGAAAACATTCTGAAACAAATAGAAAATTCAGAATTTTAGTGATTGGAAGATTAGTGGGACATATATACTCATCCTCATAGAAAGAATTAGATTAAATTTTGATTTGTTTGTATACCAGAAATAAAGCATTCCGAAACAATACAGCACGATTTAAAGAAATCGACATTAAACATATGTTTCATGAGTGACGTAACATATTCTATTTTATAGATTTTTAAAGTAAAAACTTTAAACATTCTGAAACAAATAAAAAAATCATGAATTATAATGGTTGGTAGGTAAGTGGGGCATACATATCCTAGCCTCGTAGAAAGAATTAGATTAAATTTTGATTTGTTTGTATACCAGAAATAAAGCATTCCGAAACAATACAGCACGATTTATAGAAATCGACATTAAACATATGTTTCATGAGTGACGTAACATATTCAATTTTATAGATTTTGTAAAGTAAAAACTTTAAGCATTCTGATACAAATAGAAAATCATGAATTTTAATAGTTGGTAGATAAGTGGGGCATACATATTCCAGCCTCGTAGAAAGAATTAGATTAAATTTTGATTTGTTTGTATACCAGAAATAAGGCATTCCGAAACAATACAGCACGATTTATAGAAATCGACAATAAACATATGTTTCATAAGTGACGTAACATATTCAATTTTATAGATTTTGTAAAGTAAAAACTTTAAGCATTCTGATACAAATAGAAAATCATGAATTTTAATAGTTGGTAGATAAGTGGGGCATACATATTCCAGCCTCGTAGAAGGAATTAGATTAAATTTTGATTTGTTTGTATACCAGAAATAAAGCATTCCGAAAAAATACAGCACGATTTAAAGAAACCGATGTTAAACATCATGAGTGACGTAACAAATTCAATTTGATAGATTCTTCATGTAAAAGCTTTAAACATTCTGAAACAAATAGAAAATCATGAATTTTAGTGGTTGGTAGATATGTGGGACATACATATCCCAGCATCGTATGAAGAATTAGATTAAATTTCGATTTTTTTTTTTTTTTTTTTTTTTTTATTGTATACCGGAAATAAAGCATTTCAAACAATACAGCACGATTTCAAAGTTACAAGTATTAAACAAATGCTTCATGAGTGGCGTTACTAATTTAGTTTGATAGATCTCTCAAGAAAAAAAACACTTAAGTACAGTGAAATAAATAGAAAATTATGATTAATTAAGTAACGATCCAGTTATCGTTACAGTTTTAATGGACACGTGTTCCCTGGAAGGCGTGATTTAATGGTTTCCTACGCAGTCGTTGATCTCTATTTAGGTATATATTTAGGATGGGAATTTCGCCAAATGACCTAAGAATTGGAATAATCGTGCTAATCATTTAAAGCGTTAAATATAATAATTGCAGGTGCGAGAAAGCTGTAGAAATGTAAAGATGACTATTTGTATTAGGAAAGAAATTTTTAGGTCAAATTAGAAATCACGATAATTTGTATATCATTAGTCATTATATACATCATCACTTTCTTCACTTTTTAACATTGTAGAGCACATTGAATCTAGCTTGCAGCAGCTTAATATGTCCCCAATTTGAATTATTTCACACTGCACTTATACATTTAATTCTTAAACTTTTCATAAATACTTCTGTTTAAGATGGTTTATTTATTTTTCATCTTTGGTTGCGACAAAAACATGCATATTTCTTTCAAAAAAATTTTCATTATATTTTAGTTTTATTACAACTATTACATTTTCCCATTGAACTATATCGGAAGTATTGGATAACTTTGCGGAAACCTTAATATGTTTGCCACACTGAAAAAAAGTATGAACAAAACCAACAGAATATGATAAGATTTATCGTATTTCCGGTTTTATGGGAACACCAAAAAACTAGGTAATTGGAAACCAAACAATTTGGTTATGCTAGTAGTAAAATTTACAATAGAATATAGCTTTACAATATGTGAAAAAAATTGGTATAAGTGGTAATATTTGATTATTTTATCATGATACCTTAGAGTTTGACGACACCATTTATTCTGTAATATTTCTTTCTCAGTTTTGTATTTTTTGCTAAATGAGTGATAGTAAGAACTATAATCGTGAAAACCAGAATTTCCGGTAAATCCATACCATGAAAATGGAAAAATTACCAAATGAATGATTTAAATACCGTATATTTTTGTTTTATTAACCAGAATTAGGTTTCTTTTTTTTCATAAACGTCTTACTATACCATACTTTAATTTAACAAGAATATTTTTTCTCCGTGCAATTTGAACTAATTTTACATTGAATATTAATCCCTCTTCACATTTTTGTATTTACAATGTTTTTAAAATTTTTTAAAACAACTTATTTACTCATTTTTTACTTCATCTTGCGTCAAAAAACCTGAAAATTTTTTAAAACCATTTTTCATCTCATTTCGATTTCATTACATTTATTGCATTTTTTAATTGTGTTTCATTTTCCTACATAAATAAATGGCTTTCGTTTTTCATTAAGTTTATTTCCCCATAATTTTTAATAAATATTACATTTTCAACCAACAAAAATTAAACAAATAAATCATAAGAGACTCAATATTATTATGTAATTAATAAATCTTAAAAATGACAATTTGTACTAAAAAAAATATTTATTTGTGAGCAAAGAAAGTCAACCATAGTAAAAAATGTACTTCATGAAAAATTACATTAGTATTAAAAAAATCACTATCGAATAAAAAGGGTATTTATAAAAAATTACCATAGTTATAACTCTGTATTGCTTAAGAGCAACACCAGGTGAAAAAGAATAAAACACACGTTAATATGATTTAATTTGAATAGTAACATATTTTAAATGAAAACTTGCCTAAGATTGCAGAATATACGCGTATTATTAGGGTTCAAGATATTAATGCTAAGCATACCCTTCAATAAAATAAGTGTACGGTGAAAAATTCCAGATCAAATTACGGTAAAAAGTACTGACAGTCAGACTGCCGGTACTTTTTACCTTAAATTCCATTCTCACAGTAACGGAACGAAAAAAATTGATGTATCATGATTTTTACAGTATAATTACCGTAAAATCACTGAATCACCCTGATTAAATAAATTACAGTATAATATTTTACTGTAACATGGATTTTACAGATAATGCACCCAAAGTGTCGGAATTTTTGCAGTGTGGTCACAAAAGCAATGTATTAATATTTAAATAAATTAATTGAAAAAAAATTTATCTTCCTTTGCTTATAAATTATTACTGAACTTATAAATTATTAACTTAATGCATAAAAAGTTAGAATGCAAATAAGCATACTTTTTAGTTCTAATAAATTTATTACTGAAATTCTATTTGTATTAAAATCTTTTGTTATTGTTCACTATCACTGGAAGAAATATTCTCCAGAAATCCTATATGTTAGAGGAAATTGTTATGGTTCAACACTTTGCCATATTTTCTGAGTGTGAATGCTATCTTCTGCTAATTTAGCGAAGAATAAATTTTTAAACGTGAAAAGTGAATGATCTATCACATATTAATTAAGTTTGTATTTATGCATTAATGTATAGAAAAACAAAATCGAATTTTAAATTTCAAGTCGATAGCAGGTTGTTCTTGTGGTCACATATATTTGCCCCCCCCCCACAAAAAAAATCAATTAAATAGAAAAATGTTTAGGTCACCTTTGACGTACCTTAAGTTAAAAAAAAATTTAATTTAAATTTTTAATGTAAGTTACATATATATATATGAAAAAAAATATATGTCTTAAAATAATTATACAATTCCAGGAATTTACGCTAAAGCCTTAAAAATGAACTGAAATCTGCGTAATTAACGTAACCTTAAGATTTTGTCGAAAATTGAATATACAAATTTTTGGATTACAAAAAATATTTAGATTATAAAAAATAAAATAATTATAATGTCGTAACTAGTTATTGTTTTTATTATAGTAATTAATTATCTACTGTATCTTTAAACAACTTCATATTTAGAAAAAGTAAAAGAAAGAAACAAATTATGTACAAATATTATTG